ACATTGACATTGTACGAAGAAACTATCGATTTGTCGCATGGGAGTTTCGAAATCCGCCAAAGCCAAAAGGGGTGAGTTTGCGATCGATGGTTGCTCCATTTCCCAAGCTGGAGGGGTTCTTATCCCGCTTCCGTCTTCCTCTGACTGAACATTTTTTCCGGTGCTGAATGGGTGGATGCAGCCTCAAATGTTGGATACAAATTGGGATCATCCAAACTTGGTGTCCTTTATTGTAATGAGGGTGAGTATGGAAAAGGCACGGCACGGGGGAAAGTGGCTCATCTCTACATATTCGGACCCCAATCCACTAACTAAGTGTGCGTTGTTGTGGCAGGAACCAATCAGCCGCAGTCTAGCAGGTGATGGCAAAATGATGAGAAAATATCCAACAATTTGGGATAAAGCAGGTGTTGCCAAGAATGGCACTTTGGAAGACTTTTGGCAATTTGCCCAGGAGCCAGTACACAACAACAATTATGCACTCCGAATATTGTCTGACAGCACGTGTTGCAATGGATCCAATACGGATGTCAGGTACGTGTGTTTGTCACGCCCATCACAACGGCATCATGATGGCCGTCTGTCGCTCACTTGTCACCCTTTTCCCCCAGTTATCTGGAAGAAGCCAAGGAATTTGTCAGTCGCTTCACCTTTGTCATTGACATTGCCTGTTTGGGAGACAGCCTCCAAAAATTGGCTGACGTCTTGGGTATTGAACTGACACAGAACACAAAATCCGCAGATAGCCACCATCAACACAAAACGCTTGAAGAGAGAATTCCTTATCCTAAAGTCCTAAACTACCTGAAAGAAAAGAACAAGCGGGATATCGAATTGTATGAATGGTCCAAGACACGCAGCATTCTGGAATGTTCGGCATTGGAACAACAGAAAGTACCGGCATCCGACTCAAACAAAAAGGTTCCATAGACAGGAAGCAAGGTCCAATCAACTTCGAAGAGCAGAGCTCATCCAGTCTTGTGTAGCCCACGAGCTCAGCCATTGACGCACTCACGACGTCCATTGCCACTTGGTCCAGGGCAAACAATCAACGAGGTTGTGTCCGTGCTACGGCACTATAGGAAGGGCCAATTGAGATTGGCGGCATGGCGATTGTCACTCGTTTAGCCAATATTTGTGCAATCAACGGAACGACTGAGGACTCCATCGTGCTGTAGGAACTGCCATCATCTGAAATGTTCTACACGGACATTGAAGGTACCGTGCAGTTTCAGGAGCTGTTTCAGGTATGAAGAAGTGGTGCTGAATAAACTATATGAAAATGAATACTGCACCTAGGGACCCCCCATGGGGTTGGTAGCTATCCGTGCAATACATCCATGCTAGCATGACAAACAAACGAGTTCGATTGCCCCCGACTTTTTAATTGTCCGCTTTCCCGGTACTGTAGGGGCTCCTCAAATGGCTGCTCTCGGTTTTTACAGTCCCAAACCTGCCGGCTAGCTGGCTGGAAAGCTGGAACCGAAGGTTGATCCGCCTGGGATGGTATGGATGTATTTCTTTCCTGAAATAGTTTAGACAGGTACCGGTACTACCCACCAGATCTGACTGGAATAATGCATCCTTCATTGGTGATGGGATTGGGCTGCACTACACTGTGCAGCCAAAACTGTTAGCAAATACAGCATACACCAGATAGTCTAGCTCTAGCTTAACTGCTATTAAGTTGGGAGAAAGATACCTACCGTACCAGTAGCGACACTGGATGGCGTACGGAACCGTTCCGTAAAAGTATGACGAAAGCACGTGGCTTGTTTGGTGTGTCTCTATCACTTTGAGCACTCAGTGACCAGTGTTCGCATCAAGACCGAGGAAAGAAGGTGGAAGAATCGAAGGTCATTGGTCGTCATTTTCGATAATGTTCGATGTTCCAGAAAGCTTCTTTGATGACTTACTTACTTGGCTCCAGTTCTGGTCACGCATTCTTACAAGAGCCACATCAAGAATCAAGAGCACAAGAAAAAAGATAAGAGAGTCATTCTACTGCGGACAATCTATTTTGATGTGGTTGATAATGTCCCATCAAGGATTTAAACACTGTCGATGATACCGGTAGTGGTGAATGATCGTTCGTCGCCACGTTCACTCAATTTACATTTGCCCAGGTGGCATTGTTTCTTGTGTGAATACCAGGACCGGTTTGCTGTACCGTCATACAGCGTAGACTCTAGCTAGCTAGACTAGTCTGCCAAGGATTCTCTACTAGCTACTGGTAGCTAGCTAGATGGTACTTCGATGCGGTACCGGTCGCCTTGCCATCAAGTTTCGTTCGACAACTACTGACTGGTCAACCACTATCACCTTACCAGATCACCTAATCAATCATCAGTGATCCTTCCGAAGACCGCTGAGTTACTTGTCTATCACAATTTTCAGTTTTCGCAACCGAAAAGGCACAACAAACTTTTTGCAAGTCCCCAGGACGCCTCATTTTCATCCAACAGCAAGCTCATCCAACACAAACCATGCCGTCTGAATCTGACCTTGCCGTTGCGACTCGTCGCTCCATCAAGAAGCTCTTTCCCATGGGCTCGATCATGAGTAGTGGCATGGATAATCCCATTACGTTGCATTCTGTGAACCAAGATGTGTTTGCAAGGATCTGGTCCTTGATTGCCGAGACCATGGTGGTTCAGGTGGAGCTCAGCCGCAGCACCAAGGAAGAGATTGCTAGCTTGGTGTCGGAGCGAAACTCCTGCCCCGTTTGCATTGCAGCACACAATTTCATGGGTATCACGGCCATTGTGGTGGATCAGAATGCTCAAAAGAACAGCAAGAATGTGGACACCAAGAAGATGAATGATAGGCAAAAGCAACACGACCAGGCAATCCAGTACGCCGAGTTGCTGCTCAGTGAGATGAAAGCGCAGAAGCGAATGTGCGGATTGCAACCCACCCCCACCAAGAAGACGCCCAAACGGTCCTCCAGTTCGGGTTCCGTGGGCTCTGGCAAGTCCATCGGGTCGGGAAGCGATGGTTCTTCCAAGAAGAAGAGAAAGAGGAAGAGCCGAAGGTTCACTCACTTGAATGCTACTGCCAAGGCAGAGATTGCCTTGGTGGTTATGCTTTTCGATCACATGAACCGTGTCGTCTCAGTCATCATGGGCGAAGAAATGTCTACAGCCATGTTCAATGTCCCTCGATCGCTGGCCAGGGCCATGGAGGCACCCAGTGCCGTCAAGGCCATGTCGCGGCTGATGGCACCCGTGTTCTCGGGTACCTTCAAGGTCAAGCATCAACCAGGGGTGACTCTGAGTCTCTTCCCCGACGAACAATCTGCGGGTTCAGCCAATGCATCTCTGCTGCCGGAAAACATTCAAGGAGTTGTTTTGGCCGGTCTCGAACGTGCCAATGCGGTGGGTCGTCTGGTGGAGTGGGTGACTACCTTTGAAAAGGAGAAACTCATCAAGACTGACATCATGTCCCGTCATTTGATTCGATTCCTGGACAAAAAGGTAGACCTTCCGCATGGCGGTGTGAACTTTGCCTCGCCGGAAGAGGTGGTCGAATGGATGGAAGGAAAGATGAAGACAGAAGTCACTACCGAAATCATGGGAGATGAGTCGGGGGACGAGTCCATCTACGGTACCGAACGGTCCATTGCAATGGTTCTGCTTCTATCGTCGTTTGCTCCTCAGACAACTTACGGTAGCAGTCACTGGGAGGACTTGGTCGAACGCGTGGGCGTTTCCATGGCGCGATCGATTGTCATTTGGTGGTCGCTACGCACCACTTTCAAGGAATGCAAGGGGCTGGACGACAAGATTGACCAGAGCAAAATGGTGGCGCTGTTGACCGGTCTCACACCACAATAGACACTCTTTCAAGCTAGGAAACGACGAGGAAAAACTAGAGGCTACATACTACATACATGTACACATAAACGTAACCATTTTGATTTCAACTTCCTTCCTCTCCTTCTCACCCGAGCTGATGGCTACTAGCTAGCTATAGCACCTTTTTAAACGATTGCTACCTCGCTTCTGGCTACCGGTGCTTCGAGAACAGGACCGAAAACAGAAAAAGACTGGTCCCCTCGTGTTCGTAGTCTGAAGGACACCTTCCGTTAGCCCCGTGCAGGAGGCAATAGGATATAAGGTTGAACATTTCTGAACATTCGACGGGGCTGCGGGGCAATAGCGTCATCTTGCACTCCACTTCTAGCTTCCGAGGTTTTTGCATTAGAGAGGTTTGCCCGTTTGCCCTCTTTTCCAGCTAGCTAGTCTTGATGTTTCGATGTTTCGATCGTTAGTAGCCTTCTGGGTAGATAGCTAGTAGAGTTGATAAACCAAGCTCCTACCTGATAGAGGCCCGGAGGATCGTTAGTTTGCGGCAACTTCAAACTGCCCATTTTGTGTTGATAGTAGCTGATGTCTTGTCAGTTTAAACCCCGGCCACAACCCAGAAGCAGGCATCAGAGACTGCGAGAATTTTCTCACTCGGCCAATGTGTCTGAGATTGCACGGCAAGCTACCTACGCATAGACTTCTCCTTTTCTTGCAATCTTTCAAGGAAGTCCGGCAACAAATCAACTTCCTGGTATGGTCCGAGAAATCCACCATAGTAGTTTGTTGCCATCCAGCAAGCACAGGGCAGATTGTTGCCATTTTCCCTGTAATCCTTTGGGCACGAATCTCTTCCACGATCATCGTTGTCATAAAATCCCTCGCGTAGTTCCAGAAGCCGCTTCTTCATGGCGTTAAGGAGGAAGGGCTTTGCTTTAGAAATATCCTTGTGTTCCCCAGGATCCAGGTGCACATTGAAAAGGCAACCAGCTGTGCAGTTGACCTTTTGTCCATATATTTCGTCCTTGCCTTTGGTGTGAGCGGTTGGGTAGTCTGCATATGTCCAACCAGCCATATTAACCAGCTTTTCCTCATTCCAGATCAATTTGTAGTTGCCTACAATCAATGCATGCTTTGACAGGGGTATCTCTTTTCGCGGAGACACTGTATGCACAACAACCCCCTCTTGGCTGGTTCTGCTGTTGCTGCCTTCATCTGCCACTATGAGCGGCCAAACATTAACAGCATCCACCGGAGGCACTCGTTTGTCTGTGTTTACATCCTGCTGATTGTGTTCCCTGACATCAACACCAACCAGAGCCGGCAACGTAGCATACCAATCACAAATATGAATGGGTTTCTCCAATATCTTCCCACGCCTGTGCATTGGAAGGTAGCCACCACTGATAAAGGCGGTTGCCCTGACACCTCCTTCCCAGTCACTATACTTTCCGCCGCGCAAGGGATAGTTGGTCGCAGCTGACTCCTCTGGGTTGACAGGTCCACCATTGTCAGAAGTTACCACCATCAGAGTGTTTTCCCACATACCGTGCCTCTGAAGACGTTCTACTAGGCTTCCAAGTATGTCATCCATCAATTTGACCATGGCATGGTATTGTTTCCGACAGGAGTACCTTGGTGGTTTCTTTTCGCCTGGACCTACAATGGTGGGAGTTTGAGCCTTGCAGGCATCCCCATCATCATATGTCTCATCATCATCCATGAAATCAAAATGATCCAGGTAGGATTTTGGTACAGAGAGTGGACAATGTGCCACATGTGGTGCGTAGAACAAGAACAAGGGTTGTTGTTCTTGTGACTGTTGCTGCTTGGCAGCATGGTTGTCAATGACTTCAAGCATTCTCCGTTGAAAGATGAACTCTTCATAGTCTGTACCTTGTAGCGCCCTGGCCGGTTTGTCGGTGTCCCAGAGGTCGTAAATTGTTGATTGATTGTTATTCATTGCCCCTTCCGAGTTCTGTTGCTGCATGTGATGCTTACAGCAAACCGATTGCATGCAAGCTTGAGTAAAGAAGTCGTTCTGCCAAAGAAGAAATCGAAGTTAAAAAGCAAGGCAAAAGTGACTTTTAAAAGGCACCGCCAAAGTCATAGACAAAAGAGAAACTTCTTTTAGCATCAACTTGACTGCCGATCTTTTTGCTCACCTTGTGTTCAAAATAGTTCAATGAAGTATCGTAGCCTCTTCCTTTGGGAGTATGTTTGGGTGTCGCCATTCCTACATCCCACTTGCCGACGTAATGTGTGGCATAGCCACCCCTTTTCAAGTGTTCTGCCAAACCAGTGAGATTGCGTGGCATTCCCGAACTGGGAACTTCTGGGTTCTTGAGTGTGGTTTGTACATGGACTGGAAATCGTCCTGACTGCAGTGCTGTGCGGGTTCCCGTGCAACTGCAGTGAACATAATGTCTATGGAGTTGGAGCCCTTCTTGCTGTGCCAAACGGTCCATGACAGGAGTCTGGACTTCAGGTCGACGATTCATATTGGTAGCAGTAGTTTCATGTTGATGAAATCCGACATCACCCCAACCAAGATCGTCAATCAAGACAAATAGAATATGAGGGGGAGTTTGACCGTTGGTACCGGTAGTGGCGGCAGAACAAGAGAGGAATTCCAGAAACAAGAACACCAAAGTCAGCCTCAGCCATCCATCATTACTGCACATCGACATTGTTTCTCTTGATTGCCTCCCTTTGCTATTTCTCATGGAGCCGTCAGTCTCATGCCTCGTTGATTGAATTCCACAGTGTGCTGCATCCAAACCCCCTGTCGTTTGGATCCAAACTCGGGATCTGATCCATTTCGATCTTTGCTCCCTCTTTGCCTCATTTTTTGGTCTGACCTCCAACCGCCGACGCGCACAAGCCCTGCCATCCACAAAAAAATCTTTGCTTCCGCACCGGCACCAAACCGCGCCCCCACAACTTCCAAAGCTGACAATGATGACCATGGATGTCTCACTACATGTATCCTTTTCTACGAGTAGTTAGTTGTCTGGCTAGGCAGCTGCTAGATGTTACTGTTGAGTTCTGACGAAAGAGGTTGATTCGATTGATATTCCTTTGATTGATTGAATCGAATCGAATCATTGATTAATTTTCACGGCGGGGCTAGTAGAGTAGTAGATTCGTTTAGAAGACAATGGCCAAGAAGCGATCACAATGTCGCTCCAAGAGTTGCGTTCGGTCTCGAAAGAGGAGAATCCGTGTCGACAATAAGGAGGTTTTGCCAGACGATAACCGCCAGAACAACAGTCGAGTGTCCGTGTTTGAAGACTACTTGTACGTTCAGAATTGGCTTTTCGAAAAAGAATTCTACCGCTTTCTATCGACACTGCGACGGCCGCTGCCTGTGTGTTTTCGCATCCGCGATAATTTCGAGGACTATGGCTTTCAGCAATTGCTTCACGAGGAGAGGGCTCACGATCAAGCACGACAAATGCCTGGAGGTGCCTGGCAGCTTCCGTCGTCGGCACTGCAAGCCTATCCTCGCATTCGCCAGTGGCTCTCCACGCAAACGGCTCAAGGTCACATTAGTCGACAAGAATTTGTCAGTATGATCCCCGTCTTGTTGTTGGACATTCAAAGCCATCACACCGTGCTGGATCTGTGTGCTTCCCCCGGCAGCAAGACCATTCAAGCAGTGGATGCGTTGTATGCGAACACTACTACTTCCGAGCAGCAGCCCACGGGATTTGTCATGGCCAATGAGCTGGATCCTCGTCGAGCGTATGTATTGGCGCATCGATGTCAAGCAACACTCGGAGAACGAATGAAATCGTTGGCCGTTGTCAATCACAATGCCACCAAATTTCCAAATGTATTGGCACCATTACGACGAATATCATCCAGCCCAAAAGAACGTCCATTTGATCGAATCATTTGTGATGTGCCTTGTTCTGGAGATGGCACTCTTCGCAAGGATACCAAGGTCTGGAGGACGTGGCATCCGTCCTATGGTATTCAACTGCACGCCTTGCAAGTCAGGATTGCCAAACGGGGCATTGCCTTGCTTCGAATGGGAGGCATGATGACCTACAGTACCTGCTCCTTTCATCCCATTGAAAATGAAGCTGTCGTGGCAGCCTTGTTGGAGACGGGGTGTGTCGAAGTCGTAGCCTGTGATTGTGTCCGTTCGCTCAAGGGGATTCGGCGGCGCCAGGGCTTGACAGAATGGAAGGTCTTGGATGATGACTGTCACCAAGTTGCTAGCCACAGTGATCGACCGGATTGGCCCTCGACCTTGTGGGCCAATCGGAAGCATCATCGATCCTTGCAACGATGCATTCGAATGGTACCACACGACAATGATTCGGGGGGCTTCTTTATTGCTCTCTTGCGCAAGATCCAGGAGTTTCCAGCCATTGGTGGGTCGGATGCCAAAACGGAAGCGTCCGCACCGGTAGCGGGAATGGTCACACCACAAGCCGAGCATCACAAGCTCTTCCCAGTCAAGGACCACAATGAGAAGGATGCCAAGGTGTTCACCCGGGGTCCAACCGGCAAGCGACAATTTCAGATTGCCAATTCTCTGGCTCACTGCCTTACCAACACCCCAGGATCGGACAAAATCAATCTTGTCTACGCTGGCCACAATGGTGAGTTTGCTGGTACCGTTCAGAAACTTTTGCCTGTTCTCGTATTGGTTTGCTTGGAATTGTCGTTAGCACGCCGGTGTAGCTCCACTGGTAAACACCATTGCCAGTGTGATTATTGTGAGCTGCCCACAATCTGTCAAAATCTTTGTGCTATAATAAAGATGGAATTGCCGCTTGACCCATATTGCGACCCTTGTTCGCTTTGTGGATGACACCTTGTCTATTCCTACATCACCGTCTGTAACTTGCTGTGGTTTTTTGACCGTGACGACTCACTACTTTTTCCTCGCACTTGTTCGTTCTGTCTTCGAAGATGAGAAGATGGTGGCGCCTTGAAGGCTTCCTTTCGCGATCAGAAACCAAGATGGCGTACTGAACCAGATGGGAGGCAATCAAAGGGTGAACCCCGTAATCGGCGATCGAGTTGTACTGCTAGCTGCAACTTACGGTACAGTAGCAACATTTTGTCCCCAGCTTCGTCTGAGGCACGTACCGCTACCGTATAATATTGTTGTTTGGAACCCATACCGGTAGGTTGAGAGAACCCTACATACACTTTTCAATCCCATGCGCAGGAGGAGAGGCAGGACGTGCTGCCGCACACCTGGAGCCTCCTTCACGAACAGCGTCGTGCCTAATTTTCTCAAACTAGAACCTGGTAACCCATCTTCGTAGTGTCAGCATACAGTGCACTCCTTCGTGATGTCGCATGTATGGCTCTCTGACGAGCGGTAGTTGGCCACGAAGTGGCAGTTTGCTGATGGTACCGCACACACAGCGCAAGCAATCCGTTGCGACCCGGCATGGAAGGTTGCTATGGACATAGCAGACAGACTGTAATGCATCTTCACTCTGCAATTGAGGAATGTGTAACTACGCACCAAAATGTCTTTGTTGCTTGCTTTCCATTGCGTTACATTCAAGCGATGCACTGCTCGCGGACACCCACCTGTTGTAACGAAAGTTTGTTACATGACCACTATGCCCAGGCATAGCTGGCTGCTCTTGTGTGCCTGCTGGTGTACCGTACCGTATGACCCTCGCTACCACTACCAGTATGGTAAGGGTACCCACGACGCAGCTTGCTTGGTGCGGGAGTGGAAGTGCGACTGAAGGAAAATGCATGCAGCACGGTTCATCACAAGTTGAGGAAGCAAAACGCTAGTTTTCCGACGTTTGATGCACTGTGAGAAGTGATCCAAGTACAGATGCGGTATTAATACCCGACCCTTCAGCCCATAAAACCTCAACTACAAGCAACAAAAACAATTCAACAAAAACAATCCCCAGCAACATGACTATTAGAAGCGATAGTACTAGTACCGGTAGCACAGAAGACTTGCATGATATCTCTTTGGATGGCGCCGAGAAAGGCGAGACCACAACACCCAGTGCAAGATTGGACGAGAGAAAGGGATCGGACAGTGAGCAACCAAGCAGTGTCAAACCAACGCGACGATCGCTCCGCAAGCATTTCTTCTTCTTTCTTATGGGCATTGGCCTTGGTGCTTTCGTTGCTAAATTCCTGCTGGAGCTAAAGATCGATCGTGGCACTACCCACCAAACCGAAGCCCAAGAAGACAAAGAAGCCAACCAGGACAACAACAGAACACTCCTGACAGCCAAAACCTCACCGGAGCTGTTGAAGGCATTCAACCACATGATAATCTTTGGAGATTCCTTTTCAGACACTGGCAATATCTATGCTGCTTCCAACCAGACAGCCCCAGCTAGTCCTCCATACTATCAAGGGAGATATTCCAACGGACTCAACTATGCAGATTTCCTCGCTGAGAGGCTGGGCAAAGAAGAAGGCTTCATTCAAAACTATGCCTGTGGTGGAGCAACAACCGACAGCAACGTGATCTCTGCGGAATCGACCTTTCTTCAAGGCCCCGTTCCAGCTGTGAATGAGCAAATTCAGACGTTTACTGCCGATCAAGCAGAGTCCTCGTCCCTATTGAACAGCAACTCGACACTGTACATTTTGTATTCCGGATACAACGACTATTGGTGGTGGATGTATCGCCATAGTGAAAACGCAACAGGCTCTTCATTGCTGCCCTCAGAAGCCGCAATGGAAAGGTTTGCCGAACAGGTGTCCTCGGCTGTTGTAGGCAATATTGTGAACTTGTATGAGGACAGCAGGGTCAGTGGGCGTCACTTTTTGGTTGCAGACCTTGCCCCCATGAAACACTTTCCGGAGGCGACCAACTACACTTCCGAGTATCTTGAAGCCTATCACTTCCTGACCCAGAGGCACAATGCTCTTCTGGAGGAAAAGCTGGATCTCTTTCAAAAGGAACGATTTGGTCTTGAGGATGATGAAGTTGCCACCATTCAACGACTGAAAATACATGATCTCTACATGAGCCTTCTTAGGAACCCGACCGAGAATGGATTCAGCCCCACTACTACAAATATGGTAGATACCAAAGCTTGTCTTTCAGGCGACATCCAATGCGCTCTGCCCTTTGGCAATCTCTTTTGGGATGATTATCATCCGACAACTCATACACACTTTCTGATCTCCCAAGAGATTGTGAACACGTACCAGTAATAGCTCTGACTGAGTTTTTTTTTAGCTACTCGTAGTTTTCATACAAATAGTCTAAGTTGAAATGGAGATACTACCATACTCCAATGACATGTGCCACCGGTACCGTAGGTACCCCGTAGTGCAGGAAGACGCGGTCATTATTGAATCGTGCTTAATTTGGTGCAGGTTTGGATGTCAGCAGTCACATGATCGGGTCAGCATTTTTTTCTGAAACCCATCCAGTTTGAAATTCGCTGAAAACGGCTGATTCAGACAAAACCTCAGAATTCAGAATTCTGAATTTTTCTGAAAAGACTCACGAATGCTGAATCCTGCTGATTTCGTGTCGTGACTGCTGAAAAATGCTAGACTGCAGAATAAATCTGCTGGATTGCTGAATGACAATGCTGAAAATGCCATCGGCACTACCGGTATCAGAAGGTCAACAACAACCACACAAATAGATGACAACAACAACAACGACAATCTAGATCTTTACATGCTATGGGTAGGGGTCCAGCAGAGTTTGAGTGCCATTGTTGAGCTGCAGCTGAACCAACACGCAAACTGCATGCATAGCCTGTTGATGGCGCTGCTGCCAATCTTCCGTGGCTGCAAACCCTCGATGTCGAAACTTTAGTTTCATAATACCGAAGCATTTGACCCGTTGATTGTAGTTTTCGTGTCGGGAAAGGACTCTATCTTTGAATTTGGAGATGGGTTGCGGATCAAGATCATTCTTGGTACTGATGTATTCCGGTTCTGCAGAGTATATTGAATCAGCAATCAAGCGGCGTCCTTCTGGCATTTCTCCTTTGAGCTTGCTCCTAAACACACTCAGATCGTTCATCGCTCCGGGTGGTGTCGGCTCATGAACCCAAGCCAACTTTGGCTTGTGTGGCAAGACACCAAATTCATAGTTCACAGCAGGCTTGCCACCAAACTTGTGGCTACTCCATTTTTTAGACCATGGCCGAGGCTCCTCAATAGGACAATGTATTCCATCAATTGACATCAAGAATACAAGGCCTTCGTCGTTGTCAGCCAGAGTGCCAATCAAGTCGGGAAATAGGAGTGAGATGCGCCGAACGTATCGATTTGCCCATCGCCTGACAGTCTTCTCAGTTTTGATGTTGAAAAACATGGCCAGATCGGCTTCTGTGTGGTACTTGAAAAGGTGTCGAATGGCAATCAAGAGCTCTTTTGGTTTTGCTTTCTTGGGAAGCCGAATGTCGGGGTTGTCGCTGTTTCTCAGGAGGCGCCAAACATCCTCCACCGTTTGGGGCTTCATTCCAAAGTGTTGCTTGAATCGATGGATGCGACGCTTGGGCTTGTACCTTTGCCAGTTTGGGAATCGAGCATACTTCAACCCCAACACCATGAAATGGTGGGCTGTGAACAGCTTCGCGTGTTGCCCGTCTTCGGCCATGGTCCATTACTATTTGTGGTTTGGATTCAAGCCAGGCAGAGCCGACTCAGCCGTCTTTGTCTGCTGTAGCTAGTAGTGGGATAGGAATTGATGCCAACAAAAGCGTCTTTTGCCACAAGAAAAGTTGGGCCGTGCGAAAGAATGTCGGATCAGAGCTAAATCCGTCATGCATTGGCCACTCCGAGTGTCACAACCTTTATGTAAAATCCGTTATCGAGGCAGATCGTCTTATCTTTTTATTCATGTTTGTATAACTATATACATTTCTCTTGGTTTGGGCTCTCTTGTTGACAGCAAAGTCTGACCGACCATTCTTCATTCTTTGTTTTGGTGGAAGGCAGAGGCCATGAGCACCAAACCAAAGGTCACTCCTCTTTCCAAGCTAGCAAAACAGCAGATACAACTAGATCTAGAGGCCCATTCTTCGTTCAAGCCAGGTCAGATTGTGGCTTTGCGCGAGGGTCTCTACGGGGGGAAGTACAAGCGAGCGGCGCAGAATCGTATCAACTATTTGATCGGACTCAAGAAGACAAATCCAGTCAAATATTTCCAAGCTCTCGCTGCAGCTCAAGTTTTTTGTGCTACAGCAACCAACATTGGGAACCAGGAGGACCTCCCTTCGGACGACGAGTCCACTCTTGCTACTGTGAAAGGAGACGGTTTGTTGTTGGCTAGTGACAGTGAGGACGACGATCTTCTTGAACCTGTCGACCAAACCTACCGGACGCGCAGTGCCTCAAAGACCAAGGAAACTCCAAAGAAGAAGCCTGCAAAGACCAAGGAAACTCCAAAAAGCAAGGGAAAGAAAGCCGAGAAGCTGACCTCGCCTCCTTTCAGCTCAATCAACATCAACACCCCATCCAAGAGTCGAACCACAGCACCCAAGGTTCTCTTCTCGCCACTATCTTCTCCCATTTCCACCATGTCGACTGTCGCGACCCATGATGGTCCTCTCCAATCGAATCTCATTCGCTTTGCTACGATTGAAGAAGCATCCGAGTTTGCAGACGATGTGATCAATGTCGAGTTCGATTTGCCCGAAGACAATGCCCATGGCCTCTTCATTCAAAAGGTGGATGATGTGCGGGTGTCGCCAACTGAGCTGATCACAAAGCTTAAGGTTTTGGTGCCAACCTTTATCGATCTACGTGATTTCTCCAATACATCTTGTTTCATTGTTTGTGGAGGTTCTGGTTTGATGATTACGTTGCCCACACTTCCCCATTACATTCTCCATGAGCACGGTGACTTGCTTGGTCAAGAAAAGGTCAAGTGCCAGCGCACTATTGACAAGACTGCCGAAATGATGACTTCCATTATTGGGGATCGTACCCGTTCCCAGAAGAAGCTCTTGCTGCTCATGCCGGAAGGGCTTGGCCTCTCTGCGGATTTCACTGAAAATATCCGTCGAACCGATGTCAAAGTGCATGGCAAGCTACGTGAGAAGACTAGTGTCTACAACGTTGCTAATCGATCGATCAAGCAACTTTTTTACAGTCTTTATTGGCAGCTCCGAATTGTCAACGAGAGCCGCCAGCTGATGGCTCAAATTGACGACGATCAGATGGGTATCGAGTCGGCTTTTGAAGGTATGGCCATCTAGTTCTCTAGTCGTAAGCAATTTATGTAGTTCCTTGTTTCTTATCAATCTGCTGTCATCTCTTTTGTATCTATCAGGTATGAATCTCTTAGCTGGATCGGCATCTATGGAAATTGAAACGACCAGTCGCCACCAGCAGCAGGCACCTCCTCGATTGGCTGATCAGCCAGCACAGGCACCTCCTCGATTGGCTCAAGCTTCCCACTCATTCTTTGCCACTACAACTATGAGCTCGAACAACCAACAGACTCGACGACCAGCTGGTCCTGTTTCCCATTCGTTTATGTCAGCAGCACGCCCATCAACAATTTCAGCAAGCAGTTTTCCGACAGCACCAACTCATCCAGTTCAAGAGCGGCCAAGCCCTCCTGTTGATGTAAGCAGTTTTCCGACGGCACCAACTCATCCAGTTCAACATCCAAGCCCAGCACCGACTCATCCAGTCCAACAGCCAAGCCCTGCTGCTGGTGTTGCAAGCAGTTTTCCGACGGCACCAACTCATTCAGTCGAGCCAATCCCTGCTTCTGTTCCATCGGCACCAACTCATCCAGTACAGCCAAGTGCTGGGCCAAAGATGGCACCACTACCAAAACCGGTGCTGGACAAATCTTCTCAAGTGGCCCATCGAGGTGGTGGGCGTCTTGCCAATGCCAGAGAATTGCGAAACAATCGAATTGATACAGCCAGTCGCCATCGACAACAGAAACGATTGCAGAAAATTGCTCGTGTCCGTGCTGAAAATTCAGCGAAGGAAATGCGACAACAACTCAACAATGCTCCCACCGAATTGCAGCAGACGACATCTCAGCAGACGGCCATGGCCGATGCGTCTGATCAAAAAATGGATGCCGATATTGAGGAACTCGAACTGGATATTGAGAACGCACAAGCCGAGTACAACACGTTGCAGCAAGAGCTCCACAACAACAACCAAGAGGAAAACATGGGTGGCTTATTTGAAGAAGGCAAGAAGGGTGGTGATGCATTTGATTATTGAAAGATAGGATTTACTCATGACAAGCAACGAGACAGTGATATTTAGTTTCGATTTACAAGCTAATTAGACTGGTTTTCTTCCGATTGCTTTGCTTCCATGTAAGCAATGGTATCTGCATTTAGCACTGTCTCTCTGGGTTGGATGTTGAATTTTTGTCGAATCTTTTTCTTTGAGAATCTTGCCGCCCGAGACACCCGAGAGTCAACCTCTTGATAGATATGCTTGCGAAAGACTTCCAATGGAAACTCTTTGTATTCAGGACGGGTCTCCCAAAGCTCCGAAGGCTTTAAATCAAATTGCTTGTCCTGGTCAACATCCGCCTTCAAAAGCTTCTTTGCCGCGTGAGTGCCCCAATTAGGATATCCCAAGTCACGAGGAGGATTCTCCGTCCGCAACTCAGCCACAAGAGCAATATCGTGGCCATATGCCACTGAATCGGACACCACACGATTATAGTCCGCCTGAATCTTAGCACGAAGAGTGTAAAAGTTTGCTTGGAATCTGTGGAATGGGAATTTTTTGTATTCATCATTCATTTCATACACAGCAGTTGGGCCGAGCCCCGCAGAAATGTCACCACTGATAATACCTTCACGAAGCAGCATTTTTGCTTCACTGCTCTCCCACTTTCCATCGTCCTCATCATCATGCTTCGAGGGCATCGTCCTGTTGCTGTAGTAGTAGTAGTAGCGAGTCTTTGTTGTTGCTTGTTGCTTGTTGCTGTTGTGTTGTTGCTGATGAATGCTCAATCGATTCTCATTTTTTCTGACCGGTGCTGAAAATCTAGTCACGGATATCACATTTTCTCAAATTTGCTGAAATTTTCTGAATTGCTGAATCTTCCGATTTCATTTTGCTGGATTTTTCTGGATTTTGCTGGAGGTGGTTTCAGAAAAAAATTGCAACCCCATGCGCAGACTGCTCGCATTTGGAAAGCACGACTAATCCTATAAGCACGATTCAGTAATGACCGCGTCTTCCAGAAGGAGCGAGCGCTGACACAGTTCCCATGTCACGCCTCTCCACGTCCACAGCCACGCTCCACGCTCAATTTCGTCTCCTGATGAGACGACGCTCCTTTAGGTTACCCCCTCAGTTGCACTCTGAAATCGATTGGCTCGCGTTTACTGTGTAAATTAGTGTACCCGCACTTCAGTTGCAGAATCAACGGTCATGTGTATCGTTAAGTAAAAAGTTCACTTTCGAAATTTTTAGATCAATTCGTGGATAAAAGAACCGTTGAAGTTACTAAGGTTAAGGATAAACTGATCGCACCGAAAGTCCATTATTGAAGGTGCAGCACTGACTTCTCTCCCTCATTGCATTCGTATGGTAAACAGGAGGTAAATCCAAGCTTGGCCGACAACAATGGTGAGTGCTTTATCCAATCGGCCGATCGATCGAATCGATTCGAGGTAAGCCTATTATCAAGAGAGTTTGTTGAAGGTGCAGCGCTGAATTCTCTCCCTCATTGAATTTCTATGGTATTCAGGAGAGAATTCCGAGCTCGGCCGTCAACAGGTGAGTTGTTTTAATTATTCGAATCGAATCGGTCCGGCCTCACTCAAGCCGTCCTTCTCCGGTGCAGAACAGAAAGCCATCCCTCATTGAATCCTATGGACCGTGGGATGGCAGTCAGTTCTCGGCCCATGACGGCCAAGTTGGAAAACAAGGGTAAGTCGCCGGTTTTCTTCAGTATCAGAAGAGAAGAGAAAACCATACTTATTTCTTACTTTCTATTCTCTTACTGCCGACGGCCGGTGAATTACCATTGTCGAGTCCTTTTCGGTCAATCGCTCCGGAGAACAAGAGAGGAAGAGCGAGGCTGTCGGCTCTGCTAACTCCAGCCCTATTACCAACCTGCAAACGTCGTCGAGTCATTGAAAGGCAACAAGAGGAGGCTACACGAGCGAAAACAGGAAGCTACACGACAACACTCGCACAGAGGAGAGTGGATCCTCCTACCGGATTCATCCCTCCTTGATATTTCCTAGTTTGTTGGTGATGATTCCTGTGTCGGCACCCATTTTCCTGTATGCACAAGTTGGTTGTCGAGGATTTGACCAAGTCCTCGAGCGACTTGCCTCTTCGTACGATAAGATAAATGTAACTAGACTAGAACAATGGCTGGATTGACAATATTCGGTTGTGCATGTATTCGTCATAAGGATCCAATGCAAGGTATCGGTAACGAAGTGTAGCCAATAAAGTGGAACCTGAGTGTGTTAGGTACTGTTGCCATGTCACCGATTGATGTAACTCTACGGTAACTGGCTACAATAGCTGGATTGACAATATTCGGTTGTGCATGTATTTGTCATAAGGATCCAATGCGAGGTACCGGTACCGGTAACCGTAGCGAGCAAAGCCGAACTTTCGGTACTGTTGCCACTGTCGTCGATGTAGCTATACCGCAGCCGGCTACAAAGGCTGGATTCATAATGTTCGGTTGTGCATGTATTCGTCATAAGGATCCAAGGCAAGATACCGGCAACGGACTGTAGCCACAAAGCGGAACCTGAGTGTGTTGGTACTGTTGACATGTCGCCAATGTAACTGTACGTAGCCGGCTACAATGGCTGATTAACAATATTCGGTTTTGTGCATGTATTCGTCATAAGGATCCAATGCGAGGTAACCGAGTGCAGCGAGCAAAGCCGAACCTGATGTGTTTGTACTGTTGCCACTGTCACGATCATGAACTCTACGGTAGCTAGCTACGATGGCTGGATTGACAATGTTCAGTTGTGCATGTATTCGTCATAAGGATCCAATGCGAGGTAACCGAGTGCAGTGAGCAAAGTCGAACCTGAGTGTGTTCGTACTGTTGCGGCTGTCACTGATCGATGAACTCTACGGTAGCTGGCTGCGATGGCTGGGTAGCTGGCTGCGATGGCTGGATTGACAATGTTCGGTTGTGCATGTATTCGTCATATGGATCCAATGCAAGGTACCGGTAACGGAGTATAGCCAGTAAAGCGGAACCTGAGTGTGATCGGTACTGTTGCCACTGTCACGGATCGATGTAACTCTCTGCCTACGGTACCGTAGCTGGCTACAATGGCTGGATTGCATGCATTCGTCATATGGATCCAAGTAGCGAGCAAACTGAGGAAACAGGAGACGAACACTGAAAAAAAGCCGAATAAAAATAGGGTTTCCAACTTAGGGTTCAAAAATGGCGCCAACGGTTCGTTCTCTCGCTCTCAGCCGAAAAGCTTCTCATGTCACATCATCCAAAGAGACAAAGCCAACGAGGACAATCACATCACGTTTCCAAACGAAGAAAGGTCCATTGCTTCATCATTCTCTTCCTACAAAGCGTCGACGTTGTGCTTTGAGTTGTGTTGTTGGTTGCGTGTACGCCAAAGAAGCTGGAGTCCATCGGCGCGATCGATCTTCCCTTCTCTTTCGGACCAGCCTCATCGAAACCCACAATGAACTGCAGTTACTGCCACACCAAGAAAGGCTTGGCAAAGTGGAAGTGCCCTTGCACGCTGGTGAGATGGTGCAGCCAGAAATGCAAGCAGCAAGACTGGGCACATACAAATTCTTGCTCTGGTCCTCCTCCTCTCCCCACTCTCCCCGCCCTCCCCACAGGTAAGGCCGCAGGTGGCTATCCATTCGGCGGCGGTTATGGCTCATCATTTGACGACTTTGACGACGATGATTTTACTGGACTAGGACTTGACCTTCCTATGGCTTACCCAGGTGGAGGGAAGAAGAACGCGGCGGCCTCTTCTGGGACGGGATATGGAGGCGATGGCAGGGGCGATCTGCAAAAGCGGAAAGCAGGGATAAAGCAAGCTGTGAAACGAGAGAATCAGGCATTGAAAGAATGGCAGAAAGAATTGAGTGCCTTTGTGAAAAAGAAGCACGGTGCAGGCGAAGACGCCTCTTCCATTCTAGACACTCTGAAGAAAGTGCTACGGAGCCAGACACCTGACTGGTGGTGGATACAGCCGCAGAGAAGCCTGTATGTGACGGCTCTGCAAGTGTGCAATGTCTTGACACAACACTATCCACGAGAATGGGGGGAGGCAGAAGACGAAGAATCGGCCATGGCAGCATTGGAGGAGTTGTCGCAGACTTCGAAGCTTCTCATCAAACAATTGGAGAAGGAAGATTCAACCAAAGATCTTGCAGCAGCATCAACAACGAAAGGGGTCGTGGACTTGGAAGAATCACCCAAAATCTCGCCTTCTTGGTTTTCCAGCCAGCTCTCCTCAAAGAAAACACACGACAAGGACTCCTCGCTCCCAAAGGCTGTGGTGCAAATCAGAGAGCAGGCTGCTGCTGTAGTAGCATCTGTGGTGGAAGCACCCGAGCTTAGCATGACATCCGCAAAAGACCGTCAAGTCTTGAAACCTCATGCATTTGAGACGGCAGAAGCTTTTGAGCGACCGAAGCACTTCTATGCCGCGGGTGGAGGACACTCAAAGCAACCAGACTACCTGTATCAGCCCTACAATTATCTAAAGAAAAAGGCGACGCCAACGAAGAATGGAAACAAGAAGAATGGCCTCAATGGGATCAAGGCATCAGCAGCTGTCCTTTGGAAAGAGATTTCCACATATCCTACGGCGTTGCCAATTGAATATGGGAGCTCCATCTTTGTCCGATCGCTGGAAAACCAAATGGACATGCTTCGGGCGTTGATCATTGGGCCTGAAGACACTCCCTATTCCAATGGAATTTTCATGTTCGATATTAGTATGGGTGATTATCCGCATTCGCCGCCAAAAGTCCAGTTCTTGACAACCTCTAGCTTCCTCTCAGCGGGAGCAAAGAAAGTGAGGTTCAATCCGAATCTTTATGAATGCGGTGAGGACGAATGATACCAAATTGCAAACGCACTTGTCTTTCTCCGTCCTGTGGTCAAGCTTATCTTCTCTCAATATTTGCCCAATCACAGGAAAGGTCTGCCTTTCTCTTCTTGGGACATGGCAGGGCCCAGGCTGGCAGAAAGGTGAATCGACATTGCTGCAGGTTTTGGTGTCGCTTCAATCACTCATCCTCGGAACGAGCGAACCATACTTCAATGAACCGGGATTTCAATCATCCCAGGGGACCGCCAGAGGCAAAACCGAGTCGGACAAGTACAACAAAAAGATTCGACGATACACCTTTGAAGTTGCCATTCTTCCATTTTTAAAGAACCAGCTTCAGAGCGCGAACAAACACAACACGACAACCACCGCCAAGAGAAAGGACCCGCCTGGCACGGGCGCGACAAACAATAAGGATGCCATTTACTTCCCGGAGTTTGCCGAAGTCATAGAGCAGCATTTTCGCCTCAAGAAGCAGGCGATTCAGAAACAACTGTGGGGTTGGCTACAAGAGGATGCCACTCTGCAGAATTTGTACACGGAGTACTGGAATACAGTGGAGCAGCTGGAACAGGAGACCACAACTCAATCCGCAGCAGCGGCCAACGCCAAGAAGCGAGCACGACGTTCCAAAGTGGATGCCCCCGCAGTCAAGATGCAGGACGGGGTGATTCTGCTGGATGATGATGACGACGACGATGGTTTTGAAGCGGCTACCGCGTTGGCCATCAAAATGTCGGTAGAGGGGCTGAAGTCCGACAAGAAACCAGGGGAGAAGGACGAAGTGGTCATGCTTGATGACAGTGAAGACGAGGAAGATTGCAAACCTTCCGCCAAACCAGTTGCCAAACCCTCGGCCAATCCTGCTGCCAAACGTTCTCCTGCTCCTGCTGCGAAGGTTGGTGAAGGGCAAGAAAAGGTTGATGCTTCTGGTGACGTGGTTGATCTTACCTAGCCAGCTAGCAAGGCATTGTGAGCAGGGCATGAATGTGGGGAACGTGGGAGGTTGTGAGCCTGCTGCCTTCTGAAACTTCGGTCTCAACACAACCACGCACTTTGTGTGTTACCCATCCGAATAAGCATGGGCTAGTAGCCCAAACTAAGATAATACTTCGTGGCTGCCGTCCTGGCATATTAGACCAAAATGTCCTGTGCCCAATGTTGATTCTACAGGTTCCTGGATGCTTCCATCACCGCCTTCACGAAACAATTCACCTAAGTTCTCCTGCAAATCCCATGAGCCGAAGCATCACCAATGGCACAAGAATGTCATCTGAGTTCGTCGGAACTCATGATAGATTAAGCTTGATTTTTTAAAGTCTATTCTTCAGATTATTGGGTTCCTTCAGCCTTGCTTATGTACATTCTTGGCTGGTTGCGGGGCTTCTGTAGTCTAGCACCGCCGCGGAGTTCAAACCAAGGGTGGCGGGGAACAGCTAGAAAACTCATCTACCGGTATCATCTTTTTCTCGATCCTTCTTTCAATTTTCAAGATGCTGTGTGCTTGCCATGCACCGGCCGAATCTGTGTGTGCGTTCGTAGCCTGAACCGGCACCATCCGCACCGCCGGGATCACCACCAAACAAAAAAAACAGTGCGTTTCTTTGTTGGGCCAAATTTTCATTGTTCGTTCATGGCATTTTGCTGGTGATTGCCGTTCGTATGTGACCAGATAGTTGATTGTGCTGGCTCTCTTCTAGCTAGCTGCTCAAATCAGAACCCAATCCAAGCCGTCAAAGACTTTCTTCGACGGTGAGCCCGTTTCTTGGGGTCACTGACAGGCTGATGATTCTCGTCGGGGTACAATTCCTCCATCTGTGGCGCCGCTCCCGATGGGGCACTTCCCCGGAATCGTCGGCGATTGCTGTTGTTGGACGATGACGAATTGTCCATTCGAGGACCGCGATGTTGATGTTTGGTAGAAGTATCCGTGGAAGTGTTGTCAATGGTCGCGCGGCGGCCCTGACGGTGGTGAGGATTGTTGATCGATGCATTGTCCATGGAAGCTCGTCTATTATTCTTGCGATGATGATGATGATGATGATTGTTGGAGGAGGACTGGTCCATGGATCGTCCATTTTGGACACGCGCCGACGACGAATTGTCCATGGAAGCTCGTCGTTTCTCTCCATTTTTCTTGCGTTTGGGACTCTTGCTGTGATGATACTTGGAGGGTGTGTATTCTCCAACCGTGTGCGCTTTTTTGCCATTTTGTTTGGGACTCTTACTACTGCGGTCTTTGTCCTTGTTTTTGCTACTCCGCCACATGTGATTTTTGCGACTGCTTTTGCTGGAACTTCGACTGCCGCCATCGGTTTCGTCCGCCGTGGTTCGTCCCCGCCGTCGTCGAGAAGCGGTCAATTTGCTGGCATCTTCCAAATGGCGACGAGAACTATCTTTGGCCAATCGTTTGAATCCGGCCGACAAGAACGACCCAGCCGAGGAGGATTTTTTGATAAAGGAGTTTTTGGCAGAGGATTTGTGGTTGGGGTTGTTTTTGAGGGCGGTGGAGGAAATGGATTTTTTCAAGGCGCCCCTTTTTTGTTTTTGTTGTTCTTGTTCCGGCGGTTCGTGGTTGTGGTGGTTGTCCACAACAACGTCGTCATTTCCATTATTGTTCATGGGCGTCAGAGACGGCATCGTGGAGGCATCCGAGGACGATCGTCGTCGGCCTTCCGGAGTGGAAGTCAAGTGACGGATGGAATCTCCCGCACTGGCCCTACGGTATTTTCCATTTTGTTTGCTGCGCATTGGTTTTTGTTGGAATTGTGGATGTCGATGATGTGCCGATTGTTGTTCCATGAGTGTGGGCAATGCTTCATTATTGTTGTGAACGAGGAACATGGCTTGACTGGCATTGCCATTCCAGGATCCGTGGTTCTTGCTGGCTTCATTCTTCTCAATCCCAGAAGCCCGTCGTCGATCGAGACCACTAGATGCCGACATGCTGAGTGCGGCTTGGGACGCCGTAAACGATTCGTTGTTGTTGGCATTGTTGTTGGCATTGATCTTGCTGTCGCGTCGTTTGCTGCTGCTCCGTCGTTTGCTCGTGTCTTGTACGGACGCCGAAGACATGCGTCGACTGCTATTGCCATTGCCATTCAAGTGACTGGAGGAAATCGATCGAGAGGAATTATTGTTGCTATTGTTGTTCATGGCCGCCGCACTGAACAATCGCGACGAGGATTCACTCATTCCCGCTTGTCGCTGCAGAGATTCCATGAGAACTCGTTGTCGTACTTCGGGATCCTTTTTTTGCAATTGTTTGAGAAAATCTTCGACTTCTTCCAAATTGTTGAGTAGAGAATCGGCCTGGACGTACGCGCTGCTGCCTATAGATGCTCGCCGTCGTGTGTCGGTTTTGCGTTGTTTGTTTTTGGAATTGGAATTATTGTTGTTGGTTCGATGACTCTTGTCTTTCATGGCGTGGCTCGGTCGCCGTTGACTGGCGTTCATACCACTACTGTTGCTATTATTCGGATGATGGTGATGATGATGGTGATGATGATTTTCGAGACGCGTGGACGGTCGTTTGAGCGGATAATGACTCTGCCGCTGTGGATTATTATGATTGTCGAGAGCTCCTCCAAATGGATCAATGGAAACGGCCGATTCGTCAAACGCTCCCAACAAGGCGGAAGATTGTTGTGGTCTTGGCGTCGACAGCATTTCACTCTTGGCGGATTCTTCGTAGAAACTCATGGCCGAACTGACATCTTGGTCCAGTTCGTCAAAGACCAACGAATCTTCGAGCGGAGCGGCCAACCCCGGCAATCGGTAACTCTCGTCGACGCATTCTTCGCGTTTTTCTTCTTGCTGTTGCTGTTGTTTTGATTGAAACATTTGACTTCGAGGATCTTTGATTTTCATATGATGCGCCACCATGGCGGCCATCGGGTCAACGGAAAAATGCGACGTAGAAGAGTCATGGAAATGCGAGGACGATTGATCCATGGCAGGGACTTCTCGTTGACGGGCATCCACCAAATCGCCCGGATTGATGCTACTGCTGCCTTCCTTCAGTTGATCATCTGTGCTCGAACGAGCGGGCATCGAATGCCGTCGCTTCGGCCGAGGAGAACGCTGCTTCTTGGGGTGAGCGTTGCCCATGGTCGACTTGATCTAATACTAACTTATATGTTTACACAGCAAGCTTCCGCTGCAAGCTTCCCTGCAAGCTTAGCTAGCTTCCGCTGGTCTTGCTTTTTTGATGTTTGGTGTGTGCCGAGTGCTTTTCTTGAAATGGAGGAGTCGGAAAAATGCGTCACCGCCTTGATCGGAAACTGGCATTGGCTAAGTCCTGCTTTAAACCAGGACTGGCCATTAAGACCAAGGGGCCCTTAACTTCAAGGGTCTACGAGTAAAAGAACCAGAACACATTAAATAATCAACAAAAAAGTGCACTTACTTCATAATCCAGCCAGATAGCCTTAATAAAAATGACCATCAAGCCAAAGCCACATCGGTTCAAAATCGATGAATTGTCTTTTAAGGTCTGGCCGTGGTAGGGCAACAAATGACGATTCTAATGCTTTATTTGAGCGCATTTGTGTGAAATAGGCGAATATTATTGTCTGATTGGTAGTTATCCCCACCAATGGCGCAATTTGAAGAAAAACTAAGCGTAGTGACGGCCAGACCATAAAAAACGTTTGAACCGAAAAGAGCTCCAACATAAAACGGCCATTAGCAACATGTTTGACCAGGGGTACTATCTATTATACCACACTGCGGTAGCAAAAAGTAACTGAACTAATGTGCTATACCTCAATAAATCCATTTCTCTGGGCTAAAGGCTATACGACTCAATACGCACGCGGCCACGTGCACGAACCGTCATTATTATTTACAGATCATTCAACCATTCGAAACCCGAAACTGTACTAGTACAGCTACACAGCTACATTGAGCCCAAGCAGAGTGTGCTGTCTGTACCAGTGAGTGACCAGTACTGTACGCCTGTACGGTTCAGGTACCGAAAGACGGATAGGTTGCTTGATGAGATGATTGATAATGGTCGTGGGAGCTGCAATGGAGCAAGGGCCTACTATGCCCGCACCGCACCCAGGAAGTATTATCTCAGTTTTTTTAAGCTACTTGCCAATGTTTATTATTTGGATGAGTAGCAAGCAAAGAGCGTGGTTGTGATTGAGACCAAAGTTTCAGATGGCAGTACTGGCTCACAACCTTCCACGATCCCCAGTTCATGCCATTTTCAAAATGCCTCGCTAGCTAGTGGCTAGGTAAGATCAACTGCATCACCAGGCTGCAAGGTCCCGAAACGGGACTTAAAAGGTTAGTTTCACGCTTTTGAGCTACGATGCTGTAGTTTCACCATTTTGAGTTAGTTTCACGGAAACGCTAGTTTCACCCTTTTGAGTTAGTTTCACGCTTTTTGAGTTAGTTTCACCGTTTTGAGTTAGTTTCACCGTTTTGAGTTAGTTTCACGCTTTTTCATTAGTTTCACGCTTTTAGTCGTGTTTACATTGGTTTACTATGATATAATTGTACTTAGTTTCACCGCTTCTAAGTTAGTTTCACGCTTTTGAGTTAGTTTCACGGTTTTCGAGATAGTTTCACCGTTTTTGAATTAGTTTCACGCTTTTGAGTTAGTTTCACGGAAATCCAATTCCGTGAAAACGGTGAAACTAAGAAAACTGTGAAACTAACATCAGTTTCACCAAAAGAGTCCCGTTTCGTGACCTTGCAGAAGCACCAGCCTTTTCTTGCCCTTCACGGACCTTTGCAGCAGGAGCAGGTTTGGCAGCAGCAGGCTTAGCCAGTGGCTGGGCAACTGGTTTGGCGGCAGGTTTGCAATCTTCCTCATCTTCACTGTCATCAAGCATGACCACTGTGTCCTTTTCCCCAGGTGCTTTCTTTTCGGACTTCAGCCCCTCTATACAGACAATTTGATACCCAACCTTGTAGCCGCTTCAAAACCATCGTCGTCATCGTCATCCAGTTTAATCACCCGGTCCTGCATCATATCATCGCTCGCAACCGCTAACTGGAGCATTGATCACCAGCCATGAGGATGGTGCAACGAACGGTCCATAATGCATTTGGTGACTAGCTAGAAGGTGGAGTGACAGTCAGATTCGGCAATCTAGCATTGCAAATGTATGAGTCTTCTCGAAACCTGAGTGGTTCTGCCGAATCCATGTGCTTGTCTGGGGGTGCATCATGCCTGCTATGCTTCCCCATTCGACTATGCCTACCGCAATGAAGTGTGCTAGCAACTGCGGCAAGACCTTTAACTTGCCATGATGGGGATGACAATCTACACTTCATTCTGCGTCATATGGTCTTGTGTTCCATTGCAGACTACTGGTAGTGTCCTGAGCGAGGGAAAGGATTCTGCAAAGGAGCGAGTTGCAAACTTTACACGATTCTAGAAAAGTGACTGGACTAGATAGTACAACATGCAGCACTGCTGCCCGTGTCATGCTGCTTGCTTTCTGGCTTCCAGCTCTCTCTTCTCAGTGTCATCGATCCAACGTTGAGTCAATGTTGAAGTTGCAGGCCAGGGACGACCACCCACCTGGACCAGAGGAACGTTTCCAAGTTCACGTGCAATGATTGCTCGAACTCGACCTTCGCAGTTGTAATTGTCCTTGTCCCCCTGGCAGTGGCCCATTCCCGCACGGGTGCGCTTTCGAATGGCTTGGGACGAGTCGATGGGCAAGGAACGGCGCATGGCCCGCACAACTTCCAACTCGGTCACACGTTCGCACTTACACACCACGTTGGCTGCCATTTTTTCTTCGTCAGTACCATTGCCTGAATCGTTCTTACCAACTGGCCCCATCTTGAGTCCTTTCATTCCCTCTTTGGGCTTGATGATTGGGGCACGATGTGGATTGAAGGTGAGATTGGGTTTGAACTCTTTGCCAGTAGAAGCTGCTTGTTCTTTCAACAGACGGATGACCTCCAATGCAATTGCTGGTGACCCGGCTAGACCTGGACTGTCAATGCCAGCCACGTGTACCATGTTTGGGTTCTTGGCACTGGTCTCTATGATCCAATCTCCCCGATCGCTCTTGGCACGAGCGCCACAGAAAGCGTGAATGGTTTCTTTGGGGTCGAAGCCTGGTACCAGGCGTTTGCATTTGGAAAGAATGTATTCTTGTACCTCGCGATCGGTCATGTTGAGGGCTTCTGGCTTGTAAATGTCCCTGGCCGTCGGACCTAGGATCAGGTTGCCCCAGAGTGTGGTCTGGACCAAGACTCCCTTCCCGAGGATTGGATCGGGGCAAGGAAACAGTGTATGCTTTGCAAGGCGACCCTGTGAATTGTAAAAAAAAAAGAAATCATCCGAAAAGGATTAGACGCTTTTAAATGCAGCGCTTGCCAGCCTCTGTCTGCTTGCAACGTGTCCCAGCAAGTCGTACCTGATTGCGGTGCAGGAGAAGGTAGTCTCCCAGCCTGGGTTTGATTTTGAATGAGTTGTCGCCGATCATGCCGGCAATCTGATCCGAGGCACCTCCCGCACAGTTGACAATGTACTTGGCCCGTACAGTTTCCATGTCTACCGTGACACCCTGTTGGATTCTGCTGGATCCCGATCCACCTACGAGCATATCCGCGGTCTCGACCTTGCCGTCTTTTCCCGTGCCAAGTGGAGCTCCAGCTTCTTCGACCATTTGCACAAACGGGACGTTTTTTCGGGCAGAGTTGTTGGGTAGATTGATTTTATTCGCAGTGCTCTGTGTCTCTTCACCCGACAACTGGTAGGACCCGACGGCGGCGATAATTCCACACACTGCAGAGGCCCCTGCGATCATTAGAGACAGCGAAGAACCAGGCTCGTGATCCGAAACGGTGGTTAACCAGACCAGCAGAGAAATTCCAATCAATGCGAAGGCACCCACAACGGGCCACCGAAGAGGTGGAATGGTGAACGCTGGCGCTAGAGAATTGACAAAGTCTTGCGGTTCCCAGTGACGCACGGTAATAGTAAACACAGTGCCATCTTCGCTGCCATTGGCATCCTCGGGCGTCCCATGAACAATCGATTGGACCTCTCTTCGAATTCGAAGTTCCACACCATTATCCACGGCGTTTTCAGCCAAGGCAATGGCAAATTCCTGGGCACCGGTAGCATGGAGAATTTAAATTCAATCATGTGAGTATGGATCCATTGTAATATTGATGAACATTCTCCAGGTTTAGGGACTTACATAGGGGATCACATTTCCAGCATCCGGAGAATACAAAGCAGCAATAGCCTCCTCATTGATATGGGGTTCCATCTTTCGCAGTTCTGTTTGGTCTACAATCCTCAAATTCTGGACTCCATTTGTCTCTCCTCGTTTCTTCAGCTCCTTCAAATGCGCCATATCATCATCGTTGAAGGCCACCACCAAGGAACCGTTGATTTGATATCCAAAACGCAATTCTCGGTCCAGTTGTGCAAACATTTGGTTTCCAGGCCAGCAGTACTTGGCATGGTTGCCTCCAGGAGTGTCATCGTACCCAGCATGAACAATCCCAGAGTTTCCCTTGGTGGCTCCCTGACTCACGTCGTCGGCAGCTTCCAACCACAAGGTTTTGAGGGAATACTTGGATATTTCTCTTGCAATAGCAGCCCCAATACAACCTGCACCGATAATTAAGACATCATAGGTATCGTCGTTTTCGATTGCACTGGTTTCCTCTTTGGGTCTACTTCGACTGCGTGGACAGGGTTTTGGGGGTGTATTGGAAGGGCATCCAGAACACTTGTCGTCGGTAATATTGAACGCCCCATCACAATCTTCGATATCCAGCCAAGAGCCTGGAAGATACAAGAGACAGAGCAACAGCATAGTTGTTGAGGGAACAGAACAGGAGACCGAAGGAAAAATGGGACAACAATGTTTCTAAAAGGTGTTCCCTCACGTACCTCCATAGTACACGCCAGATCTTCCATGCCGAGCTCCAGGAGGTGCCTTGTTCACAGCAGGAGGAACATACCAATACGAATCCGAGTCGATTCTATCTTCGGTCGTCATGTCAAACGAACAACAGTGGGAGGAGCTTTGCGCTGATGAAATGCGCTGATCAAATGAGCAGAACAGCCATAGCAGAACAGTAAATTAAATGCAAACCATTCGAGAAAGAAAGCAAACAACCTGCCTCCGGCAATTTCTTTGAAAATGTGGCGGAAATTGTGGCAGCATCATGAAAGATCCATCAGTGATGGCTGACACCAACCACGCGGGCGAGTCCCACATGATAAGAACACCAAGACGCTTACAAGGTTTTTTTATCCAAATAAGGGGGGGTCTGGCTAGCCAGAGTGTCAGAAGAGTGGAGCCGAGTATGGAAGCTTGGAGGGTGTGTGGCCCAGCTAGGAAAAGGTACTCCAGAGTACATCGAACGGTCGTCCTCATAGCTACGATACTGTATTTTTTGCAAGGGGGCTGTCCCTCGATGATGTGTCAAAACTACCGGTATGAATGGCGAACCTAATCTTTATTGTGTGCTTTTGCTTTTGTGGCGTCGGATACCGTGCCAAAATCTCTTCGGCTTCACGCTTTCGGGCGCAACAGGTTGCAAAACGTCTTGAAGTGCGGAAGAAGATGGCAAGTAGGCAAGGTCAATTTGATGGATATCCAGCAGCGTTTCGAAATGAGCAATGGAAGTCGCTCTTCGTTTCTCTTCCATGCAAGGGTATCTCCCGTGTGAGTTTCTTCTATCGTGGTCTTTCATCGCAATAGATACTTTTCTTCGTTTCCGCTCAGCCTCATGGTCGTCCACTGTCATGGCTTTATCCGCGGAGCTCCATTGGACATCGTTGTCCTCCAAGATCCACTCAAATTCTCGAACAGCTACCGTCCCAAACGAGACTACTGGTAGCCTTGGCCCGCCACCGACCACATTCGTCTCGTTTTCCTTGCCCAACAGGAGGACATCATCAAGTTCCAGATTCCAAAATTCTTCGCTACCAGCGGTTGGCCAGGTAGATTGGGTGGTGTGAGAATCATTGAGTAGTGTAGACTGTGATTCTCGTTTCAGCAGAGAGGAGCAGGCTACGTCAATGAAATCATTGCCATTGTCGCGACGCTGGGGAGTCAGAGAAGGCATACTCGAGCTATTGTGTGAGGTGAAAAAACCTGAAAAAGTGAGAGAAACATTGCTTTTCAAAAGCTCTATTTGGAGGCAACCTCTCCGTGGCCCCTACCGGTACCAGTAGCTAGTCATGAAAAGACAATTGAGATTTGAACACCTTGAGACCGTGGAAAGTTGATGCATATGTCCGTGTAACCCAGCGTGTTTCTGTTTCAACCCCTCTTTTAAAAGGTTCCTCAAGATGATGATGCGCCGCAGCCACTGTAAACTATTGATTGGTGCCGTCATCAGCTGCAGCAGCTGCTGAGCCCCTATTTCATCCCAAGACTCCAAGTTGTAGGGGTACAGCCAACTGAGCAAGTGCGCCGTCAGCCAAATCCCAGTTTGTGGCACCGCGGCGAAGTCAAGTCGGGGGGCCTGCCTTCCTTGCTGATCTCCAGTGTCAATCCAGGACACCAACAGTGGTCGCCTCCCTGGTACCACTAGCTAGCATTCCTCCGGAAAGCTATCCCAAAAAATAGCGCCTGCTGTTGGAGGAGCCTTCGTTACATGTACTGTTTGGCTTTGCGTTCTCTTCTCAGTGCACTGCCAGTAAAAGTTACGTACAGGCGTACCAGACAATCCAGGTGGAACTTCACTACTTTGCTGGTCCCAACCAACCAGTGACGAGTGGCGAACAGCAAACAAGGAAGGCACCAATGTAACGGAATAACAATCAGACAGACTCGACTCTGTAGATGGCGCCTAGCCTGGTGGTACAGGTGGAGGTGCACAACTACCTGGTACCGTACGTAACACTTGTCAATGGTTAGCGGCTTTCTTACTACGGTACCACATGGCAGAACGCACCCAAACTAGCTGTGCAGCCCACTCGGCCAAGCGACGAGTAGCTAGCGAAGTAAAGCAAGATGAGCAACCAGCTAGCTAAAAATCTACCTCCTAGAGAGACTATATATATGTTTGGATTCGTAGCTAACATTGTTATTTGTGTTATCGGCCCGCTTTGAAGGGGTATAATGTTTCTAGCTATGCCTGGCGGTCGCTTCGAGCGCTACAAGCGGATTCGATTCGAGGTGACAACTTGAGCCGCCTTGAGTAATCTCATCTCCCCATTGGATTGTTCATGTTAGGAACTCCTTCTTTGATTTGGGTTCTGCGATCTTTCTGTCTTGGCAGGTCGAGCTCTTTGGAGATGTACCACTCGCAACCTACCGGCCGTATGGCTGATGGGGCTCTGTGTCGGTTCATGCTCTGCCTGTTGGGTCATTCTCATTATCGTAATGATTGTTGTCAGTTAGCCGGTCACTCACATCACCTGTGCTTTGTTGCCAAAGGAGAAGAAGTTGGAGATCTTCTTGCGGCACTCGGACTTGAGGTACTTGCGGTACATGGCTCGTTCGTAGTCTTCGAAGAACCGTTGGTACTCGTAGTTTTGGTAGTACATGTCCTTTTTGTAGGAGCTGCGTTCTTCCAATTGGTGGACTGCCGTAACATCATCTGCACAGAAGGACACCTTCCTCATCTGCTTGTGGATGGACAACTTGGTAACTCGGACGGTAATAGGGGTCGACATGGTGCTGTTGTTGTTTTGTTTTTGTTGGTTGGTTTTGGTCTTTGTGAGAAAGATTTTGTGAGGTGTTATGTGGATTGAGTAGATGCATTGATCAGAGCGATGCAGTGGCTGCGCTGCTGCGCTGACACAGTTCTGTTCGGTGATGTTCCTTCCTGGCACAAACACACAGAGTGAACGTACTGTTTTCGTCCAGGATCCATGAAGGTTTTACGGGTTTACAATCGTATGCCAAAACCGCATACTGAGTGACTGAGTGTACAAAAGTGCCTTGGCCTTGTACCGGAGTGTGCATGGATAATAGATCCACAATCCACATCGATCATCAAGAGACTTCCCATCGCCATTATTTCTTAACATCCGGTAGATGTATGTGATGATGTGATTGATGACTGGGTCACACTTGACAGCTTCTTTCTTGATGCTTTGATACTGACTTAGAGTAACCGATTTCTGGGGAGCCACAACCGTATCCGGCGAAGCAGACGCCATCTTTTTCCATTTAATCACTTGATCGTATTATGCCACCATGGTGAGTGTCCCCACGTGTTGCCTACAACTCTTTGTAATCCGGTTGGCCGAAACCGCATGCTACATGTAGCCCACATGTACGGCACCGTAGCGGAAGAACGGAAGCTGCACTCAACAGCCAAAGCCGCAAAGCCGAAGCGAGACTAAAGGACGGAAACAACCAATCGGACCTTCGAAGTTAGCATCAAAACATCCAAGAGCCTCTTCTCCAGGTGCCTCTTTGGTGCCATCCGAGAGGAGTACAAACTTCGTTTTTTAGGCTTCTGTACCGAAGTAAGAGAGGGTGAAAAAAGGAAGATCCACAAGACCAACCGGTACCATCCATATTTCCTTCCAACTATTGTAATAGTGCCAGCAAGTAGTCAAGTCTTGATGTTGGACAATTTTGTGGTCACAAGACCAACCTACAGAATTAGAATTCGAATTCGGACGGAAAACCAGAGTTCTACAAGGATCCACAGATGAAGCAAGAGTGTTTCTTGGCAATTGGCACCCATTCACCCATAGCTTAGGCACGCCGACACCACACACGCAATGAGAGAGGACTTCAATGCCAGGCACCTCAAGAAACCTCAAGATGCAGGTGCACCTCGCCATAGTAGTATTCATGGACATTTTTGTGGTCAGTCACAGTCCTCCATCTCTAATCTCTAATTCGGAAAAGCAAAAATAGCTAATTGATAAAGAGAGCAGAGTATCTTGGTGTCTTTCCCTCTGCTCATGCACTCAGTCGTTGACACCTGACAGGCAGTAAAGGTAGCAAATGCAATAGGAGATCTTTTTGCCAGGCATGGTCACCCATGGAGGCAGAACCTGCCCAAGATCGCCCCAACAATACTAAAGAAGTGCTGAATGCAGTCCCACAAGCAAAGTGTGCAAGCAAGAGGTGCAAAGTGCTAGCCAGTGCTGTACGAGTACTTCACTGTATGCTGTATGGTAGTCTACAGTACTGAAGAAAAACCTTTCCTTTTGGCCTTTTCCAGAACTACATGTACGGACACGGGGAGAGCTGGTCACCACGACCTCCATGCCTCGCCGTGGCAGCCAGATAATAGCCACATCCATCCAAGCGAGAAAGCTCTCCAGTTCCTCAAACCTTGGGCAACGGTAGAAGTCTGGGTGAAATACAGCTTCGTCTGCTTTTTAGCAAGTTTTAAACCCTAGCTTTATTGTAACACGACATCGTCACAGAACGACCTCCAAAACGCCACAAGCAAGCAATGACCGTCACAACCCTCAAAGAAAGACCAAGGCAAGAACCAACCCAGCCTTTGGCACCTATCCAAACGGTACCGTAGCCTGACCAGAAGGAGAGGATAATAGGGAGATCGAATTCAAGCTCTTCGGCGTCTTTAGTTCAGTTTCAGTAGAAGAGAAGATGCATTCCCTGTCAAGCTTCTTGTGGTGTGTTGTCGCCATGCTGCTACTGTGTTGGACGCCTATTAGTGTCCACGCTGTGAGCGAATGTGTGGCCACGGGAGAAGAAATGACATCGTTTGAATGCTTCACATCGGGCAGTCAACCACGCGACATTATGAAGTGCGAAGACACGGACAAACGCTGTGAGATCTGGGCCAAACAAGGCGAATGCAAGAGCAATCCTCAGTACATGTTGATTTATTGCAAAAAATCGTGCGAATCCTGCATCAGCGGTCACGCCGGAGAAGTCCAAGTGGCACCCGACCCCAAGGTCCGCTCCAAGGTGATTAAAGTGTTGGTGGAAACACAACAATACTTGAAAGAACAGGCCGACTTTAAGGCCAAGATATTGCGAACGTGTCGCAACAACAACCAACATTGTGCGCATTTTGCCGCTCTGGGGGAATGCGACAAGAACCCAAAGTTCATGCACGAAAACTGCGGACCGGCATGCAAAACTTGCAAGTGATTTAGCTCTACCATTGAACAAGAGCAAAAATGGAGGAATGATCGAATCATTGCCATTCCGAAATGAATATCAACTCCTATTGGTCGTGATCCGCACAACAGTTGGATCCGCACGGCCAAACTGCCCCAGCCCGAGATTCTCGACCATGGAATTCATCACATATTTTGAATCTGCCATTTTTTATATTTCTTATGGTGGTGATGATGATGATGATGGTTGAGGAAGAATGACGACACTTGCATGCTGAAATGATGATGATTATATTGTACATACTGTAGGAAAGGATTGAATTTTGTCAGAGAAGCCATCATTTGAGTTGATCCTCTGGCGGCATCAGTACTGTAAATGGTGAACTAAGCAGCACCCTCTCTTGGATTGATCCTGCTTGGGTGGTCATCGTTGATTTTCAACAACATTCCGTACTGATTAGAAGTTCAATATTGGCTCCAGCTTCTTGGGTCTAGCTAGCTACTTGGACGATCGGAGAGTCCCAGCATGAACTGTTTATTATCTACCTTCTATCCGCCCTTCTTCGGTTCCCTCGTCGACTCCGTCTTCTACCTCTATTCCTTGACCCACCAAATTCTTCATCGTCGTCCTTGTCATCACGGGGTACATGGCGGACCAAGAGAGTCTCCAAGAAGAGATCCTTGTTTCGAATGGTACTCATGGCTACACCATCCCGGAGGTGCAAGACAATGGGCCATCGCGTGCTTTGGGGATGATTGGGAGGCACGTACAGTGGCAGATACCCACTAAATTTGGTAACATCTCCCCCCAACTTTTGCAACAGGTGAATCACTTCTTTGCGTCGTCGATCGAGACAAATATCTCCCCAATCATATGGTTGTTGGCTGTTTTGAGTAGCGGCCGGGTTCCAAAAGGGAAAGGTGTGGAACCACACTCGAATCTTTCTCGTTTCGGGATGTACGGTCAATTTGGACACCAAACTGCACGCGGCATACGTATAGCATCCCCACGAAATAATCACAGACGTGACAAACCCAATCAAGCCCACTTCGGGGAGGACATAAAAGGGTACGGTGGCACCCAAGTATTCGCTCGAGAGGCACTGACCCGCATACCACGTGAAATAGGATGTGTTGGCTAGGGAAAAGGCCGTAATGGCACGAAGACCACGGTTTTCTTGGGATGTATGGCGGCGATAGATGACGGTGCTTTTGGTGGATTTTTTGGTGGTATTTGTGGTGGATTGTGGTGGTTTGGTGGGGGTTTTAGTAGGACTCACCAGGGAACCAGATTGGGTCGACAATAGGCAGATTGTCGATCGAGGCGCACAGACCAGATCCTTCCTTACTGCCCTTTTAAAAAACTCAGTCAAAGCGCTCCCAGCGATCCGATTTCCCGGGGGAAAGAGACGAACATATCTATTATGGCCTCGAAGCATAGCTGTAAACCATTGAGGATGCAGTTGAGCGAGAAAAAGGGGACAAGGTGGCAGAGTCTCTGAGCAAAGGTGTTAGGTTTTGTGTGGTTGATGATGGACAAGGGATGAGGGCCGGGGGACGATCACCGGCAAAAGAAAAGATCCGTCCAAAAGATCCAACTTTCACCCTAACCTTATCAAGTAAATATCACCGCCTGTATGTTCTGGCTTCAATTTTGGCTGCCTCCACTCACACAGTTCGTTCCGGTACATGTCATGTGCATGTGAGTGAAGTATCTCCTTCCGTCAGAGCGCACAAGGATCTACATCTATTATCAGAACAAAAGAAACGCAAGTTGCAAAGCGTTCGCCCATAGTGAAAGATCCTGTAATGCAGCAACCATGAGCAGCAGCGGCAGCAAGGCCAGATACGAGCTGAAAGAAGAGGTTGCCTCAGAGAGAGGGGACGCCGACGGAGAGGGATTGGCGGGTTCAGGTACATGTATGCATGTAGATACCCCTTCGAAACATCAACCCTCTGTATTCTTTATACAAAACCTGGCTGGAAAGTCAGTTTCGATTCCATTTAATCCGGAAATGACGGTTGGGGAGCTTCAGAAACAAAATGAATTTGACCACGGCCTGATGCGTAGACGGGGAACATGGGACGCTGGTGTAGCTCCCAGAGAGGGGGAGAAAATTCCAGCCGAGAGACAGTGTTTGGTCTTTGAGGGAAGAAAGCTTGACGCAAATTCAAGACTGGCCGATTGCGGTGTTTCGTCCAATTCCAAACTTTATCTCATTGAGCTTCAACCTCGTGGAATAAGAAGCAGCCGCCCCAATGATAACGGTTGCACCATTCCTCAAACAGAGTTTCGATCCATCACCCTACGACAACTCAAAGAAATGGCCATAGAAATGATGTTCCGCTGTCACAAGGACACTTGGACCAGCACCAATCCTGCTCAAAAAGGAAAAAGGCTGCTACCGGAAGAGGTGACTCTCTACGATCTCACACACTACTTCATCAAGCCCGTCACAAAAGAACGCCAGTGCAGTTACGTTGAACTGATTGCAGATGCTCCTAGGGAGTGTATGTGGTTCTGCAGCCATTGGTGGGGCGCCCCAGTTCTGCACTTCATTGCTTGTTTGGAACAACACGCCATGGATCGATACCTGCCTCATGCAGCAGACAAAGTCACTTATTGGATATGTGCCTACTCCAACAATCAACACAACATACAAGAAGAAGTTCACCACAGCAGCCCGACAGACAGCTCGTTCTACAGGGCCATGCAACTTTCCAAGGGTACAGTGTCAATTCTTGATGCAGACAGGGTCTGCTATTCACGGATTTGGTGTGGATTCGAGGTGTCGGTTGCAATTCGAGATATTGCAGAACAAAGGACGGAGAAATACCTTTATGATATCTACAGTGTTAGTCGACAAGAGCTGCAGCCTGTAGGTATCACAGATGGCTATACTGCTATGGATGTGGACAGGCAAAGAAGGCACAAAGAGATCCACAATGAGGAAAGGGAGATTCTTCGTTTTCAAATGGAAAGACAAGAAATGTTCCCCTTCACCCCAGAAGTCCTTGATGTTTGTATTGAGAAAGGAGAGGCTTCCGTGGAAGAAGACAAGTGGAAGATTCTCAACTTCGTCAGCGGTCTTCGAAATGGGAATACACTACAGGTTCCTCCCAAAACGCACAAATCCTATGATGAAGTCAATGCTCTACTACGAGGGCGATTTGCTATTGCAACCTACAGGATTGCACTGGACAATAATTTCCAAATGGAGAAATACAGAGAAGGATTGACACAATATCCAGGTTTGATCCATCTTGAAATGAGTTTTCTTGGGTGCACAGCCTTTCAAAATGAAGCCAAGAACTTCATGCTGTCTCTTCCAGTATCATTGCTGTCTCTTGACTTGGACTACTCGGAGATTTACTTCGACACTTCAGATGACTTCATCATTGGATTGAACCGCCTCAACAGGCTGGAGTCGTTTGCCTTGAAGTTGCCAGACTGCGATGCAACAACATCTGTTGCAACCATCTTTTCAGAACTCTACAGTCTGGCTCCAACCCTCCAAAATCTCTCACTCAATTTCAAGGGATGCTTTTCTTTGGACTCTTCTGAGCATTCTTTCAAAACAACTCTGCCAACACTGATCAACCTCAAATTCCTGAAGCTGAGTTTTGTACGCAGGAAGTTGGCATTAATACTTCAGCCGCTGACAGAGCTTGACAATTTGCAGACCCTTGATTTGAGTTTTGAGGAAGACTTGCCCAAAGGAGACTATTTCTGTTCAACTTTCTCTGCCATGACGGGACTGAAGAACCTTTATTTGGAATTCGGTCAAACATGGAGCTTGACCTCAATCAATGGGCTTCTTGAGGAAATCACACGCACCAATGGTTTAGAAGTCCTTTCTGTGAAGGGTCTCTACGATGGGTATGTCATTACAAAATGCCCGCGTCTGCAGGGTTTAGAGTCAGGAAACAGTCATTGAGTTCTATCATGAGCTAAGGGGCATCCAGATTTCATCATGCAGAATCGACCTGAGTTTTCCAATAGTGAAGTTATTGGATGTGAACATGAGAGAATTCCGTGGCACAGCAGGGGACATTGAGCCCCTCCTTGAGATTTGCGGTGCCCACGCACAGCCAGCCAACGAAATAGTTACACCTAGTTCTGTTGGTAGTAGCTAGCTACCTGTAGGTACGGTAGCTACTAGAGACCTCAGCCTTTCGTTTCTATCATCGGCGTCGAGTCGAGTCTGTTAGTCAAATGGATCCATTGTCGACTGCATGGTAAGCTCAAGTTCTCAACACGGCGTGGAAGGTCGTGGCACCCCCAAGCAAAACAACAGCATTGGCTTCACCCTAACCTTAACGTCATTGGAGCAGCCAACAAAACAACGACCAAACTGTTCTCTCAAAGCTAAGAAAGGACACAAATCCTTTGGCTCTGTCTTTGGCTTCCCGGCAAGGGAAATCACACCTCTCTCAACTCCCGAGGAGCCAAACGCATCAAGAAGCAAAGGGAGTGATCTCATCATGCGGAAACGACGCGCAGTGGTTGTCGGCAGATGCCAAACGAAGAGCAACAACGGTAAAGATCCAGTTGTATCCACGCGTCGCAAAAAGCCAAGAATCCCAGCAACCCCAAAGGCAACGCGAGCAGCAGCAGCCAACAATAAGTGTTCCGACGACACTCTCTTTCTCAACTGTCTGGATCTTGTCTTGGAGGCGGGATACCTGCCTTTGAGCGACCTGGCCAAAATGATGACCGTCAGCAAGATTGTATCGGCATCCGTTGAGGACTCCCACGGGGCATGGACGCCCTTTCTGGTGGTAGATCCCAATAATGGCAGAATGGACAAGCTGGGTTTGGCGCCGCCTTTTGGGTATTTTTCCAAAAACAACAACGTGTGCCATGGCAATACTGCCGTCACACGCTTGCATCTTCCTCCACGTCCACGGGGTCCACAGCGTGATACCTTTTCGTACTATCCCCATGACAGTGAAAATCCAGAAACGGTCCAAGGATTGGTTCTGGCTAGGCAAACAATTTCTGGAAATGACAGTAGCTTGTATCGCTTTGACAAGAACACGGGTGCTCTGGAAGATGCCTTTTGTCCTGCTGCCGAAGATCCACACTCTCCTTTATTCCGAACCACAATCTACATTCGGCGGGAACTCCCCATCACTTGTCGCAAATGTAGAGTTACTTGTAGATCCTATTCCACATTGGTGGAACATTGTATGAGTTACAAACATCAACAGGCCGTGGTCCCCAAGGAGGCTCGCATTCCCAAGCACTTTTGGGATCCTCGAAATCAGACAAAGTTTGTTCAGATGACACCCTATCAACGAGTCAAGGCGTGCCTCCAATACAAGCAAAGAGTTATTCAAAAGCTTCTACTCATGGATGAGGCGGGCATTCGAAAGATGCGAGAGTACACTCGGCATTTTCGCACAGACATGACGACGAGAGCTCGGGAAGCTTGCACAGCAGAACGAGTCAAAGAGTTCATGGTCCATTACGCCATTCGAGACTTTTCGGAACATGGCATGGCGTTGCATGGAGATTGCCGCAGTATTATCAGTCAAGGTTGGGGCAAGTTTCAATTTCAAGACCTTGCTGGATATCGGCAAGTGTTTCGTCATTTGAACCGTCGGGTAACATCTGGACGCCGTGCTCGTGAGGGACCATGGGATATCACAAACGCCGGGTACCATTGAGGCATGATGTAGGCAGTGGCGACAATGGTGGAGTCGCAAAACTATCTGGAGTGAGGGCCACATATAAGCCGAGGCGCTCCCTTGGATGGGTCATTCTCTAGCAAGTGTTAAGTGTTTTGTCATGAGGATGAGGCCATCTAATGCCAAAGAAGGTTGCATTCAAATTGTTTCAAATGCAATTCAATACTCGTTCTAAATAAACATATAAGTTCATATCCGATTAGCAGTTCAGATGGTCACTTTGTGGTGTGGTGGTGTAGCTAGCGTTGATCGTCTCGATTGATTAGGAGGTCACTCATTTTCGTTTGGTGGCTGGTGATTAGGTTGGAAGGAATATAGCAAAAGGTAGATTGTGAATGTGGCTTGCGCTTCAACCTTGGTGGATGAACGGATGAATGGATGAATGTAGTGACTTCTGTGATCTTCGTGTGATGTGTACTGTATTTCTTTTCTAAATGCTGGGCTAGCTAGCTGGTAGCGGTTTGCCAACTGATTTCTCCCATGAAAGAACGAATCTCTTCGGGCAGGTCGGTCGACAGGGGATGGTCCTTTGATTCTCGTGATATCCCTTTCAAATAATTGGCTGTGGAGTGCGCGGCCAGTGTTGACCGTGTGGACGAGGGCTTGACTGTTGGCGATGCAGTTGTCTTGCTGCTATCCGGCACTTTGCCATTTTCTTTCTCGTGCTGTTGTTGTTTTGACGATAGTACTGAGTTTTTGTCAAGGTATTGTGTGGAATCATCTTGTGGATTGTCGTCGTTTTCCTCTTCGTCAATGACGTCGTACTGGTCAGGAGTGAGCAAGTAATGAGGCTCCGTCAGATGAACGACCCTTGAACCCAAGATTCCACCCAGCCTCCGGGCTGTTTTGCCGTGAATGTTGCGTTCATTGTGAGGGGCCAGAAGACTTTGTGCTACTGTGGATACGAAATCCACCTTGCAATCATCGGACACGGCTGAGAGGAAGAAAGCGCGCGAACGAATGAAGTTAACACTGGCCTTTCAAACGAGCATACAAAACATACACAACCTTTGGAAAGACGAATGCTTTCACTCACTGACAAATCGATGAAATCTGGACCCGCCTTTCTGGCTACTCCCGAGCACACCCATCGGATTTGCGGCAATGTGTTCTTCTTGCAAAAAGTGACGCAGCCTTGGTGCTTTTGAGAGTGCCGATTCCAAAAAGGCATTATCCGAGACCTGGGCACCGCCAAATGTCCTGGTACAATGAGAAGAGAGGGTTTGAGGAGGGGTGAAAAACGGCTGGCTTGGATTGCTAATAGTCCGTACCACAACTCCAACTTGTTCACTGGCACATGCGGGAAATTGATAATGATATCGAGGGCATGCAATGTAGCCAGGGCGCCCCCTAGGGAATGTCCCGTCAGCAACACGGACCGCCCCGGTGTTGTCAGGTAGTCCACGGTAAGCTTTCGCAGAATGGTAATGAGTTTTTTGTTTTTGACTTTGCATCCACGCCGTCCCTTTTTACGGACAATCGATTCCTCTTCTTGATGTTGTGTTGTTTCGGGTACCTCGGTCGCATTGAGAAGGGCATCCTCTTTGCACCGTTCGGCATCGATATCGTATTGATCAAAATCCTTCTCGGTCGGCGGTGCCGGGGAGGTTTCGGCAGTGCAATGACTGTACCGTGGATGCAATGCCGATAGGGAGGGTGTGCAGTTGGAATCTTCGCAAAGCTTGAGAATGGATCCTCGCTCGACCCGCGAGTAGGCATTGAGGAATCCTCTGTGAATGGATCCTTCCAGTGTCTGGTTGTCGTTGTGGAACAACCGAGAATGTTGGACCGATTCAAAAGTTTGCAGATTGGTGACAGTGTCCGGCACGGAGGCTGTTCCGGCAAAGGCAATAATCAAGGTTCTTCCATTGTTGGATGTGGCAATGATTAAATCCGTATCGTGGTAGTTCCCCAGCGGCGTTGGTTCGTACCAATTGTACAAGAAATATTCCAACTGAATCTGATAGCGTTGTTGTCGTGAGATGCGTTCCTCGAGATGATTTTGGAGTCGTTCGCTATAGTAGCTATTGTTCTTGTTTTGTCGTTGTCGTTGTTGACTCTTGGGGAGCAGCGAGAGCCATGGCTGTGCCTGATTCAGCGTCATTTGTATCCCCGACAGAACGATTCGCATGGCCTGATCTCGTTTCCGTCGTCGCAATAACGGTTTGGGTGTCCCATCTTTGAGCGTCAAGACATCAAAGGAACTGCGATTGTCGGGCACCCCCTTTTTGTGAAAGGGCCAATAGGACAGAGATGCCATGACCGACATTCCGTAGGCCAAATTCATGTCTTTGGCATCAGAGTCATCCAATGATGTGGGAAATGAGGAGGAAGTGGAGTTGCCATGGCTCGTGTCGAGGAATCGATGCGCGTATTTTCGTAGTTCCTTGTTTGCTTTTCGCCAAAGCCTGGAAACCCGCGATTGGGGCTTGGTCGAATTGACCATGGCCAAATGTCGGCAATTGGCAATCTTTTGCTTTCCATTCTTGGGTCGTTTTCTTCTCTTGGATCTACTAGTGTCGTCATTCTTGGGATCTGGAGGGATCCCTTTCAGCTCTACAGAGGGTTCATTGTCGTCTTTGTTTTTGCTTTTGAATTCCAGTTTCCACCAATCCCAGCGCCACTTTGTTGTACGGGTAGCATTCTGATTCGATTGGGAGGAAACTACCGCTTCAACATCCTTGGAATGTTCCCTTTTGGCTGTTCGTCCAGCATCGATGCTGTACAAAAAGCCGACTACCAGAAGTAACCATACCTTCATTAGCCCAGAGCTATTCAGTGTTAATAGAGGCTCCCCAAATAAAATGGCTGCTTTCCTGTGTTTGCTCTACTTCGGTGTCGAGTTCCGCTTTTGTTGGTTGGAGGATGTTGTCGAAGAGCAACGTTCCATCCGTTTGGGACAAAAGAAGTGGTACGGTACTCAAAGAGCTATTGACCGTAATTTTAAAAGAAACCATTCTAACAACGTGCCACAAAGTGATTGGCCCATCATGAATGACGTTTGCCACTTCGCACCTTGTCATCCATCCCAACAAAACCAAAACCAATGATCTGGAGCAAGCAACAGACGACAGCCATAGAGACCATGAAACTCCCTTTGTTGCGTACTGGAGCAGCCTTGAAGATCGCTCAAGCTGACGGAGTGATTGGTGGAAAGATCTGGCCAGCCGCATCGGCTTTGTGTGACTTTATTGCCCACCATCTGCCACCGCAACATGCTATGAAGTGTGTGGAATTGGGATCGGGGACGGGTGCGGTAGGGATCTATGCCGCCGCCACTCTGGGATGCTCCATGACACTGACCGAACACCGGCCACCTCGACTCTCCGTGATACCTTCTGTCCCCTATGCGGTGGATGGGACACCCGAGTTTGACGCGGAAGAATATCAAGACGACAAGAGTGACCGACTGCTGAATCTCTTGCAGTGGAATGTGGATCAGAATGCGCACTTGTTTGATGGGGACAACAACAAGACTATGCATATACTACCCCGCGTCGCCGAACTAGACTGGAACGAAACCAGTCATGCCCAACAGTTACTATTGGCGGATTCTGCTGTTGGTTTTGACTTGATACTGGGCAGTGATGTTACCTATGTTTCGCAGCTGCATCAACCGCTGGCAGATACCATTGCCTCGTTGTTACGTGCATCACCATCATCATCATCAGAGCCAACCAGAATAAAACCGAAATGCTTCATTTCTCACCAACAAAGGGTACTCAATCTTCGGGGACACGATTTTCAGCTTGTGGAATTTGAACGAGCTTTGCTCCAAGCAGGTTTGTCGACTGTCAATATACTACCATTTCCTGTTACGGAGGGTTCGACCACGCACAAAGTGTCCATCCTAGAAATACAACACGGCAATGCCAATGGAGGGAATCAGATTGTTTTGCAATAATGATATCTAGTAATGTACACATCATTGGAGACCTCGGTGGCACAAAAAAAATCATTGAGGAATATCTAGCTGTAGCTTATCTCGCTGTAGGTAGAGTACTGAAACTCTATCATGGTGGAGGCATCCATCCCAAAGTCTTGTTCAATACCTGTACTTCTCCTACCGGTATGGTATCAATTACCTGCATGAAACCATCATCTTTCGTTGCTGGCCAGGTCTCTAGTGGGTGTCTTTCCCACGGAAGCTTCTTGGGAAAAGAGCCGTTTTCGACACCTTTTGGCGACGGGACTGACTAGAAATAACCCAGTAGAGCTGGTCAAAGTAAAGCCACCATTTTAACGCCTTTTCTTTTGTTGAGAACACACAATTATGGCGGTGGACTGTGGCCATTTCTCGTCCCAACAGATTTATGCCAAACAACTGTTGTCACCGCAACATCCCGACAGCAAAGGCCCTGTCATCGGCTCTCTGGACATCAACATTATCCGACACAGACGGAGTACAGTACTGTACTATCTTCGTGCTCACTTGTGCTGAAGCTAGCTAGATAGCAGAAGCCAATGCCGAGGAAGTGTATTGGAAGGAAATAGCAAGACCACAAGCGGCAACAATCAGCGTACAAACAACGAGAATTTCCAACAACAAACAAACAGCACAATCGACAACCATGGGAAGCGAACGAAACAGCCACCATGACGAAGTGTTGGTAGAAGCGGAAATCATCACCAACGACATTATTTCCAATGATCAACAAGACGACGAAAAGGCTCCACTCAATCATGCTAATACAAATACGGAACGACGAGATCCATCTCCATTGAGTTGTCGCAGCATGAATTCCCAATGTTCCATTCTCAGTATTCGCAGTGTCGATTGGCAAAAGACGCAACAAGAAGCCATACTCCTCCTCGATTTGGCCATTCCTCAGACATTCCTACAATTGGGATTGATTTGGGCATCGGCATTGACCGCCTCCTACGTGGGACGACGCATGGGGTCCATTTATTTGGATGGATTCACATTGGGCAATTTGACGGGAAACTTGTTCATTTCATCTCTGCTACAAGGAATTCTCAGTGCCAGTGATACGCTGAGTCCACAAGCATTTGGAGCTGGAAATGACCGAGAAGTGGGATTGTTGGCCATTCGAGGATTTGTCGTGTCGCTGGTCGTCACGGTACCGATACTCGTCGTATTGTTTTCGAGTCTGGAACGAATCTTTCAACAATTGCATCAAGATCCTCTTGTGGCAGAATTGGCCAAAACATGGTTTCAAGTCTTTTCGCTGGGACTCCCATTTTATTCACTCTCCATGATGATGTGGAGATTTTTAGCGGCGCAAGGACTCATGATGCCCCAAGTCATTGTGGGAGCCATTGCCAATCTCGTTGTCTTGCCACTCTGTTTGGAATTGTGTATAAAGTGGTTTGATTTTATCGGATCGGCCATTGCCATTACGTCCTTCTCCATTGTACACACGGCAATGCTCTGGTTCTACTTGTGGCGGTATCAACCGCATTCACGCGCGTCTTGGCCGGGATTGTCACGCGATGTGTGGAAAGAGGCATTGGCATGGGAGCCCTTGGTCCATTTTGTGCGACTGGGATTGGGAGGGATGCTGTGCTCCTGTGAATGGATCTACTGGGAAATATTGGTATTAATGGCCGGGAGTTTGGGAGTGGTGCCGCTCAGCGCTCAAACCATTGCCAACATGGTCGTCGAAGTCTTTTTCATGCTGCCCATTGGTGTCGGGATTGGTCTGACGATTCGCATTGGGGCGACCCTTTCCGTCAGTGTCGCCAGAGCGCAAGTATTGGCCATGGCATCTCTCTTTTTCGGTACCATTGCCTTTGCGCTGCTGTCCATGGTCGTCTATTATCAACAAAATCTGATTGTATCCTTCTTCACGGTCGAACCCGACGTCATTGAGGCGTGCCGAGCGATTTGGTGGAAAGTGGCCCTTTTGAACTTCAACTGTGGAATTTACGGCATTGTCACGGGCATTGCCACCGGGTTGGGAATGCAGTGGACTCTGGGGATTGCCAGTTTGGTGGCACTAGTGGTTCTGGGCCTCCCGCTGGCCTACTATTTTGCCATTGTACAAGGAGGAGGACTCAGTGCCATTTGGTTTTGGATGAATCCACCCTACGCACTGGTCAGTTTCATACTGCTGATATGCTTCACAAAGGTCGACTGGAATGCCATTGCGGCGGACATTATGCAGCGAGAACGGAGTGGCGACGATCACAGGAATAAGGACCCAGAACAACCGAATGTCACGATGAATGGATACGGATCCACGGATCATCATCAGATGGTAACGGATGTTGGAACAGCCGCAAGTCAGGCTTAGCTGTTGGAACAGGAATTTTTGGCTCACATAGGGCATTGCTTCCTGGGCACGTACCAGTTTTGTATCATTAGTATAGTAGCTATTTTTGTAAATCGTAGAACTGCATGTATGAATATAAATGGGCAAACCTGTGCTACTTCCAAAGCTAATGAATGGAAGTGAAATACCGCTAGTCGTTCACATCCGAACTGATCTTGTCCCAACGGGGCTTGGGACTGAAGCCTGAAACAAGAGACAACGAAGACTTGTTTCCTCAAAACTACATGTACATGTACCTCTAGAGCTAGGTCAGAGTGAAAAGTTTTTTAGGATCCGCGGTGTGTACCTTGTGCGCTCGTACCTATTCAAAAGCAAAGCCTTCACGGATGCCAGATTGAAGATTCGGTTTGCAATCGAATGACCAAAAAAGCGTAATTTAGAAGCAGCAACTACGGTACAGAGCCAAATGCACGCGTTGGCGCAACTCTGCAAACAAACCCTCTCATGGACACCTTCGCCTTATATATCGACAAACTCTTGTTACACCTGTCTGACCGACCTCATATGGTTTGCTTTTCTCACGCTGATGCATGCCGCTGTATGGTTGCATGGGCCCTCAAGAGATCTGACACGAGTGCAGACTTTTGGGTTCAGAGGAGTCGCATGAATGAATCACACAGAAGGATCTGAGCAATCTACACCTTGCGAAACAACTGGAAAAATCTGTTTTTTACGGTTACTACGGCACCCGAACGATACTGTGCTCGCACTTGGTACTACCGTGCCAGCCCGACACTTGTATTGGTACCGTAGCTACGCCCAGTCTCTCTTGCCCGTACTGACAATCAATACATTTTCATTGACAATCATCCATTCTGCATTGGACTGTTTCCTGGTAACAAAATGGGCTGGGAATTCACTGATCTGAACATACTGTGTATCCGAAAAGGGTCGATCCCCCCGCAAACCACTTCGAATGTGATCCGATGACGGTGGCGTGTCCTGGACAATCCGATATGGCAATGGTGGGTGGCCCATCACCGCCAAATGATTGTTCCGACAGAACCGAATAGGCATCAACTGTGTATTGGATTCTCCACGCACACCCGAAAGGATAAAACTCAAGTACCATTGAAGATTGTGGAGATCATCTATTGTGAGTTCAGTACAGGTAGCTTGCTGCTCGACCAATCCGTAGCGAACCTTCCAGCTTTTCTGGTCAACACTTGAAAATTCTCTTTCTAGCTCTTCTTGTCGCTTCGATGCCAACTTGAAGCGAGGCCATGGTGCCCATCGATCCTGGCAGCGCTGCTTCCAAATGGTGTCGGTCTCGAGGGCAGCAAGATCCCTGGAAACGCACTGAAACTGTAAGAGATCTTTTGCAGGAAGAAACTCGGCAACACTCAGTAGCAACTCCTCTGTCAAACAGGAGAAGGATACCGTAGCGGCCTCAACAACAGCACCATCATGGCTTCTCTTGGACATTGTCTTCTTTGTTGTTTCCACTGAGTACATACATGTACATGTGCTGCATCCAGGGTTGGAGGGGTTTTCTTTGTTCTTTGCGAGCTTCCCCTAAAAGATCCGAATATGTGTGCGTCTACCTGCACAGGCAAATCAAGATTACATCGTAGTGCGGAAACCTCAAGGAAAGACGACTGCAAACCGTACCGTAACCATCAATCAAGAAAATCAGCACGCTGTGTCCACGAAAGAAAGACAACAGAAAAGCTATGCAAAACAGGACGATCCGGCAATTATTAATACTAGTCTAGAGTAGTGCTCCAAGCTAATTATGAATCACGACTGGTTGCACGTTTGCCAAGCGAGATTTAGGTGAGGCGTCTCCTAAATAGTCTCCTAAAACCGGTGCGAGTATCCAAAACGGTTGCCTATTTTTAGACGATCGCCTAATTCTTCGAGCAACAGCTCGTTAAAGCCTAGCACTGGCATCCTAAATCCAATCAGTAGACTAAATAGTCTCCTAATGCCGGCAATAGTCGCCTAAACGGTCGCCTATTTTTAACGGTCGCCTAATCTTGAAACGAGCGTCACAAATTCTCATTGTCGTCCACATAATAACTGCATGAATAGCTACCAGGTAATGACTGCTTTCCTGTTGCTGTACTGGCACGATATCCTACGAAAATAGCGTTCCCACAAGTCTCAACTCTCACAAAAAAACTTTCGTTGGTGTTGTTGGCAAGAAAGACAGATTGATCATGGTACTGATGACAAAGGATGTGTTTGCGTCATTAAAGCGCGTTGTTTGCGCTGTGGCCGGTGTCATTGTGATACAAATTGGCCTGGTGTACATGGCTCTGCTATCTGTCTTCTACGAGGACCGAGTAAAAGTCAAAGTAAGCCCTTCGGTCCAATCCGTGTCGCCTTTGCCGTGGTGGGATGAACTTCAAGGAACATTGGCCACGATTGTGGCTTGGTCAGCCGATGCAATCCCCTACTTGAGTGCATGTCTTACATCCGAGGCCACAAATCCTCTTATCGAGATGTTCCGGTTTGAATACCCCACTCCATTTGCTCAGGTGTGGGTACCTGTAACAAGTAATGGCCTAGAGCTTTCATGTCAAGTTGCGAAGCATCATCAGGAGGGAGGAGCAAAAAACGAGAAAAACATGACCGTCATTATTGTGCCGGGAATGTTCAACAGCGCCTACTTCTCTCTGATTGTTTCCCTTGCGTCCATGATATACTACAAGTGGAAAGCCAATGTGATTGTCGTCGACCTCAGAGGGCACGGGGAAACGGGCCGCCGTTTCCCCAACGTACCCTTTTCTCTCACGGTTTTGGAAGGACAAGATCTGTTGCAAGTGGCAAAGTTCGCCAAGAGTACCTTCGGAGATGAAACAGGGTCCATTTGCCTTTTGGGTGTTTCTCTTGGAGGGGCTTCCGTTCTTTCTTGTGCAGTGCAAGGAAAGGACTGTTCTACCTTGATTGCCGCTTGCGCAACTGTTGGTTCACCCATGGACTTGGAGAACATGCTTGTGAGAATGTCGCAAGGATCTTGGAACATCTGGTTTATGTTCTACAGTTGGCTTCTGATTTGCTATTGCCATTGTCGAAAGATTGGGTGGCACGCACGGAACTTCCATTCCTTTGTGAATAAAGTTGTCAAACCCTATTATGCCAAGGAGTTTGAGCAAGTTTTAAAAACATCGGATGATCCAAGCAAATTCAGCCCAATGTGGCGTCTCAAGGACCTGCAGGTGCCTCTTCTCACGGTACACTCTCGGGATGATCCTGTTTTAACGCTGGAAGAACCACTACATTTACAGAAACAAGCAAAGCTTCACAACAAGGACCACTTGGTCCAAATTAAGCTCTGCGAAACGGGGGGACATGCAGGGAACCTTCCGTCCATCAGCGGAGATATACATCGCTTCTTCACTGCCTGTTCCCATTAGCCGCGGAGGCTCTGTTGCTGAGTATACGTAACACTGGAATCTAGCCAATCTACCCCTCGCAGATGCTACATGGCTGATATCAATACAACCAGCACGTGGCTGTGATAAGCAAAGAATGTAGGCAACTCTAGATAATTAGATTGGTACAATTTGATCACGGTGGTCAGTTTTAGCTGACCTGCATTTCTAGGGTCTACGCAGCAAAATTTAGTGAATCAGAGCAAACGATTCGATTCGTTTTTCGGGGAGCACATACACACTTTGATGACACTACCAACACAACATCAGTGACCCAGCGAGCAAGAAATTGCATTGAACAATCGAATTGCAGCTGTTCGAAGACGCTATTTGATGCCGTACATTGCAGCCTACCGACACAGCCATTTAGCCGTGGGCTTTGGAATTCGCTCGTCCGTGTCCGCCGAAGAGTTTTCAACCAAACTGGAAAGAGCAGGGGCACTACACATTGCATCTATTGTCTGCTGGTTGCAATCTTTGCGCCGTTCCGGGGGCGTGCTGTCACCTGCGACGACGACGACACTGACTCCACGATCCCTGCATTAGCAACTCAACTTACAACTCAACATCTATTTTAAAAACGGAGTCAGCTCCTACTGTACGAAATTGCTCTATCGAGGAGGAAGCCTTGGACCCCGTACTAGCTATTCATAAGGGGAACGTCTCCGAGACTCAACTGTTCAGTGGTGATGGCAGTGACCAGAAGTTGCTATAATATCAAGGAGAAGGCTTGGAACAATGGCAGTTGACAGTGCTGGGAATCTTGGCCAGCACTTGGCCTAAATCGGTTGACCAAAGAGCTCTTCTGCTTGTGGGGGAAAAAGTTGGGATGAGTTGACGAGTTTCCATCCGACTGAAACTGTGGCATTTCATACTTGCTTGCTTCATCCGAGTTGAGACTGGATGCTCCTTCTCATGGCGCCACAGCACGTTCAGGAGGACTGCTCAAAGCGACACTGCAATCGAGCAGTCCATGCACTGGTAAAGGACAATCTTTAAGGTGCTTATCCTTGAGCTTGTGCCAAGGTGGCACAAACTATCCCCCCAGTTGAGGCGCTACCTCAACGTAGTAATAGATCTCGAGCTGGTCTCCCTCCCCGCAAGGACTTTGTGGTACCGTGACCGGTGTGGGCAACAAGATATTACCTCGTCACGTGCTGGTACACCCGCAGTTCGTAAGATAAGAATGGTGAACTGTGGCGAACCATCGTGAAGCCTGGCAAGGTCGTCTGGCCATTGTCTGCGGAGTATTCAAGTTGCTATTGAATATTGAAGCTACCGGCATGGCACTTGAGGTGCCTCCAGTATTACTTCAAGCTCAAGTCGCCACTACCTGGTACAAGCAGTTTTTCTTTGAGCGTGATGTTGAAACGTTGAAACCTAGACTAGAAACAGCGAAGGTTGCAGGATTTATGTAGTCGGTAGAAAAGCTAATGCTTTCTCGTATCCCCACATCCCCATCTCGAAACTCAAGGAGAAAAAAGGGGTGGGATTGAAGAATTGAAGAATCAACTACATGGAACTCGACCCCTTGAAACTCAAGAAGAAAAAGGGGTGGGATTGAAGATTCAACTTGACCCAGCCTGCATCCGAAGACGCTACCAAAGAGCGAGCCTGGAGTTGCGTAAATCTGCTGGCTTGACATTGAAGTTACCCAGTGGTCACAAGCGCTCTGCAACGTCAGCATTCTTTCTTTTCTACTGTTTCATTATTATCCCCTTAGTTTCAAGAATGCATCTTGGACACACAATCATGGTGGGGTTGTTCCAGACTGGTTGTCAAAGCTCTTCGCTCCACATTGGTCCACCTACCACCCCCTCCACTTATGCAGAACCTTTGTGCTGGACGAGAGGGCAATCGATCTACCAGCAGCAGGCTAAAATATTTTTGTGTCCTCTAGCTAGCTAGTATTTTGACTCCCCGTCCTATCCCTGCTTTCTATTTAGTTCTTAGTTGACAAGTGAGCTTACCTGTGGGCACCTAGCCTGCACAGTCAAGAAGAAGAAACCAAACTATCTACGCAGCGAAATGCACCCATACGACCAGCTGCAAATAGCGGTACCGGTACGGTACGGGTATGCTGTGCCCAAATCTAGATTTCTCACAATTCCCCTTTTACTCTCACTGGTACCGTACCAGTACGATTGTACTACCTTCAATCTTTAAGTATTATCTTAAAAACAAAGCAAAGGCAAGTATTGATGATATATTATGACTTTTTGGATTTAATGTTCCCTCAGGCTCTACTAAGTCGCATTGTCACTGGAAATCCGTGAGAAGCATTGCGGATCAACGACAGACCTTGAACATTCAGCTCCGGCAACACCGCCAACGCTTCCGGCTTCTGTTTTTCTACCGCACTTTGAACCAGCAAAAAGTCATTGAGCTCGAGCTCAACCACACAACCTAAAAAGCATCTCCTAAAGACCTTGCTTTTACATTGTTGTCCTTCATCTTCAACCTCAACATTGAACCTGTGTAACCAACTGTTCTTCCATCTTGATCATCCATCCACCTCAGCTTGAAGGTGAACGGCACGACCGACGACTCTCCTTCTTTCCAACGCTTCTTCTCTCACACCATGGCATTCGATGCTGGTGAAGCAGGGTAAGCCGACGCCATGGTGATGTTTATCGGTTCGATTTAGATTTGGTTGACATACAATTACTCGACCATGGCGGTCCGCCGCCCAAAAGCACTTTGCTTGTTCTCGCTTTTCATTAAATCTTTTAATCGCGTCTGCTTATGTCTTTTGGGCTACCGTCTGAAGCTGTCCATCCTGTTGTCCATCCCGTCTTCGTAAAACTCATCTCACTTTCTTGTTGCTTTCCAGACTCCCCTCCTTGCTTCTTCATGCAGCACAAACCGCAGCAGCCGCCGATGGTCTCACTGCTCCACTGGAAACCAGCGACCCTCAGGGTTTTGCCAAGCAACAAGGTCTAGGCTTGGACCATGCGTTGGCCGCCGCCAGCAACCAAGCCGCGAGCCGCAAGGTGGGCGGCAAGAAGAAGGGTCCTCCGCTCCGTCGCGGAAAATGGACTCCCGAAGAGGAAGCCTATGCCAATCGCCTGATTCAAGAATTCAAGGCGGGTCTGCTCCCATTGACCGACGGTACCACTCTGCGTACGTTTCTCTCCAAGCTGCTCAACTGCGATCCCATGCGCATTTCGAAAAAGTTCGTGGGTAGCAACTGCATTGGAAAACAAGTCTTTCGCCGCCGCACGGCCGATATCAATCGCCTGACACCCGATCAAATTCAGCAAAGTCGTGCGGAACTGAGCGAATTGGAACGCCGGTTTCTGGAACGAGTGGCCCAAACCAACCGCGTCAAGTCGGCGTCCGGTGTCGGTGGAGCTTCCACTTCGGCTGCAGCGGCTTCGGCAGTCAGCGCTGCGGCCGTCCTGAGTGGCGGCGGTGGTGGTGGAGGAGGAGGTCATGCTCATCAGCATTTAATGCAGAATCATGCGTCTCTGCAGAGCCACTTCCAAGCACAACCCAAGGAGGAGCCGTCATTCGATATGAATCCACCAAGTCCTCCGTGGCTCCAGCCACCACTCGGATACAAGCAAGGATCGGGTGCCGCCATGGCCGCCTCGAATTTGTCAGGAGGAGAAAGCAAGAGCAGGGCGGCAGCTGCGGGCCGTGCGCTTCTCCAAGGTCTCGGTGGAGCCAACCTGAAGGGCCTCAAGGAACGCAAGCAGCCCAGCCAACAACAGCAGCAACAACAACAACAGCAGCATGCATCCAATCCACTGACATCCCAAGAAAGTGCTGGATTGTTGGCCATGGCAGAACTGCAGCGTCGTGCCAGTCAAAACAACTTTTTCTCGAGCAATTTCGGAGGGTCTTCTGCCAGCGACATTTTGGCGGCTGCCGCTGCGGCCCGCAATGGCAGCAATTCGGCACTAGCGCAAATTGCCCGCAATGCATCAGCAGCGAGGTTGGCTGCCTCTGGAAATTCCATGAACAGCCTCATGATGAAGACTGGACTGTCTCGGGACCAACTTTCTCAGTTGGCTCGAGACAAGGGATTATCATCCGCGTCGTTGACCAACATGATGGAGCGCCAAAACAGCTTTGATGCGCTCATGTCTCTGGACTTTCAGAGTCTTCAGTCCATTGACAACCTTGCCAACCTGATTCAGACTGGTGGGGCCGGGCAAGTGCCGGAAGGCGGCATGAAGAATTGGTCGGCAGATTCACGATCCAATCTGGCAGCTGCCGCGGCGGCAGCCGGGTCAACTGGCAACCTGTCGAATGCCGCCCGCAGATTGGCCAGTGCTGGACGTATGGAATCTCTACTTAGGTCACTGTCGAGTGCTGGAAATCTTGGCAATGAACTAGGTGGTGGCAGTGGGGACGCCAACAAGAACACCACCGAACGCGCCAGTGGAAACTCCAATGCCAACTTTAGCAGCTTACTTCAGAGCATGCAAAGCAACCTGAACAACTTTGGTGGCGGTGGGGGTAGCACAACAGACTTTCTCAACGCCGCGAGTGGCAACAGTGCAGGTCGAGACGGCGAGTCGGGGGGCAACGCCAACAACATGGCAAGTGCTGTGTCGTTGGCCAACTTGTTGCGACCCACTGATTCCTCCACAGGATTGACTGCTCTGAGAATGCAAGAGGGTCTCAACCAACGCAACTCGAGCGTAGATGATTTCCTGAGTCTTGTGGCAGCCGGTGATATCCCTCATCAGGATCCTTCGTTGCTGAACATTCCCCTGATGCAGCAACAAGCAGCCGCAGCCGGCGGTGATCCGCAGGCCGCTGCGGCCTTCCTCGCGCAGCGCCAACTACTTGCCAAGGCCGCCCAATCAAGGTCCTTTCAAAACCTCGCTGGTGGTGGGAATCCTTCCGCGGGTAATTTGAATTCGTCTTCCTCCGCCGCTGCATTTGCCATGGCAGCTCGTGGCCGCGATGAGTCTTCCAACCAGCTGAAACGGAAGTTGCTAGATTTAGAAGGCGTGTTCGATGGCCAGGGCCAGAACAAACGATGAGTTTGGCAGTGGCTCCCGGCATACCGTACCACTACAATGGCTACATGATCCTTGCATATTTCACTTCACTCCACTCGGCTACGTTTTTCATTAACCCCTACTTCTAGATGTTGTCAATGAATATTCTATATACGATGTGAACTCTTGGTACTGTCCGTTGTGTTGGTTGCAGGAATGTCCACCGGTAGCTATGCTTAGTTGGCAACAAAAGAGAGGGCAAGAACGGCGACATGCAACCAGCCGAAGACTGGAACTTATTTTAAAAAGGGAACATATGTCTTCCCGAGACGACTGCCTCCGAGAAACGAGCTTGTGCTCATCCATGAAGTTCAGGCAACGATGTTTCTTGAGTTTCCGGGAAGTAGAGAGTCATCCGGTGAAGTTGGCCTTCACCACCTAGACGTGATAGTGTAATACGATACTTTCGAACGGGGTGTCAAGCTCCTGTCGACGAGGCACTGCTAGCTAGAAGCTAAGCCCGGACGCCGACTGAACCACCACATGGGCCGGGCGTACTGGTAGTTTTCCACGTTTGCCAGAGTGGACAGTTGCTTGCGCGTTTGACATCGTGAATGTGTTTTCTGTTCCAGAACACAAAGAAGCAAGCAAGCAAGAATATTCAATATAATCTAGCTAGTGGTTGGAAGTCAGCCGAAAGATGCCAAGAGGATACTTGAAACACAGCAAAGAAGCCGGCCGCAAAAGAGCACGCGGAAGCAGGAGCCACAGAGTCCGTGTATGGTCATGGCTGGCCAAAATCGAGAAGGGGCAGAAATGTGTTTTTCCTCCTTACATTGGCGAGCAATCTCGAATTGCCCAAGACCTTGCTTTCGGGCGCTACGACTTTTCTCTTGCCAAGGCGGACCCTCCAGCAAATGAAGGCCCCAGATACCCCGTCGGAGATTGCCTCGTCTGCATGGAAACCAGTCCTCTCATTCGACTCTCCGAGAACTGCAGGTGGCACGGCGCAGCTTGCCAGGGGTGCCTTCGAAAATATCACGTCACAAACGCACACAAAAGCACCCACAAATTCGAGAAGGCGACCTCTTGCTTCCATCCGCAATGCGATCAATCCGTATCTCACGCGCAGCTCCAGAAGCATGGCATCATCAGAAGCGAAGACGAAACAAAGAAACCTGACGAGCTTCTTCTCTTTTGCAAAGCAAACAAGATGAAAGAGCCCCGCGTTGTTTACTGCCCTGGCTGCGAGTTTCCTCGTGTGTACCCAAACAAACTCTCCGGCAGCGACAAAACACAACACTGCAAGAGTTGCCAGGAAGCCTTTCTGGTGTCTCCTGACTATACCACGATTCGAGCTCTCGAGCGACTGGGAAACGACAAGATCGGAAAGAACGATGGCTGGGCCCGCTCTCCCGGTTGCAGTGTCCTGGTTTCGAAGGGGAATGGCTGCTCCCATATACACTGTGGTCTGTGTCATTGCCACTTTGACTGGTGGAAGGCTGCACGTCCTCATGACAGTGACGTACATCTGTGGTGAACCCGCATTAGCAAAATGCTTATGCTGGAAAATGTAGCAATATCATAGGTACTCCTCGGGAGTGTGGCAACGGTACAGTACCGGTGGCCTCGGGGCTTGTGACAACTCGTTGATTGTCGTTGCGTCCTTCATTCGCGCCGCCTTCTATTTTTTTAATTAAATTAAAGCAGATGAGGAGTAAGGTTTTCGCGAGAAGAATCATAGAAGACATTGCTTGACCGACTGGTGTGGAGGACGGGGCAGGTTGACGTTTGATTCAGGGCTCGCATGAAGTTTGAATTCAGGATTTCCAGAGAAGAGCTCGCTGTGGAAGACTCGGCTCTTTTGCTCACAATTCCGCTCGGCCTGAATCGTAATAAGATCGAGCTTCACTCTGGTTTCCCTTCTCCCATCGCTTGCAGCCTCGCACTCCTTATCACATCGATCATCATGCTGAATGCTCATCGTCCACCCAGCAATGTCTCTCGCCCCAGCCAGCGCACGCCCTTCTCAAGCGTCGACAGCAATGCTGTTGACGAGGACGCATTGTCCAAGTTGATGATGTCGAAGGCCGTCATTTCGGCCCAGCCAAAGGACGACAACGGGACGGCTCGTATTGACAATGCTTCCGACGCCGTTTACGAAGACCCCAATGTCGACCCAACGGTCGAGAATGCGGTCGTTGACTGGTCCGAGGAAAGGAAAGGGTTAGACAATCTTTTCCTCGAACAAGCGAAGGCCAAGCTGAATCTCGAGAGCTTGCCTGATTTCGAAAGGCCCATTGGATTCAAGCCTTCCGTCGAATTTTTTGACCATCAAAAAGATGGTATTCGTTGGCTGGTGGAAACCGAACGAAATCCCTCACCAAATCCATTCATGTTCAGCAAGAATTTTTTCAAGACGGGAAAAAGCATTATATGTGATGCAATCACGTTGAAGAAGCTGGAGACTCCCCACCCACCAGTGAAAGGTTCCATTCTAGCCGACGGTAAGGAAATTGCGTTGCTTCTCTGCTAGTAGGGACAGAACCGAACTGAGCTCACGTGCTGTTGGTTTGCTTTTAGAAATGGGGCTTGGAAAGACCCTCCAATCGCTTGGGCTGATTTTGTCTAATCCCCCGAAGGGCCACGTTTACGGCAATGTTGGCGGCTCCGAGGCAACTGGTGATATCTGCACTTTGATTTTGTGCCCAAAAGGCGTGATCTCTGCATGGACTCAAGAGATAAAGAAGTGCGTGGTTCCAGGAACCCTCCGTGTCGAGACGTATGACGGAAGCCGAACTCGTAAAGCCAGATCGAAAACAATTGAAAAAGTCCAACGAAAGGAAGTGGACATTTTGCTTTGCTCGTACGACACAGCCGGCTCTGCATTCGAAAATCCCAACACCGACAACAAAGGCAATTGGCTGTTGGATATACATTCGAAGGGGTTCCACCGCGTCATTTTCGATGAAGCCCACGAGGTCCGAAACCGCGCCTCGAAGAAATTCAAGGCCGCAGCAGCCATTGCGAAGGCATCCGAGTTCAGGCTAGTTTTAACCGGTACACCCCTGGTCAACAAACCAGATGACGTCCAGCCGTTCCTTGACCTGGTTGACTTAAAGCCATTGAATAACCCCAGCATATTCAAAAAGGAAATCACTGACCGAATTAAACACCGGCAGATGCGGGGAATGACCAAGCTGCGCCGGGCCCTCGGCTTTGTTACTCTCAGAAGGACCAAAGATGGTTTGGATCTCGGAAACATTGTTCCGAAGACTGTGCATATTAGCAGAGTAGAATTCGTCCAGGGGGAACACAAGGATGTCCATGACACTCTTTATCGAGTGACAAAAAGCCTCTATGAAGCCTTGGTGAAAGGAAAGAGGGCCGGGACAACATCGACGCGTACAGCTTGGGGGCGTGTCTTCGAAATGGCCTTGAGAGTCCGTCAGAGCTGCAACGCCTTGGTGCCTTCAGAGGAATACCAAGAATCTTGTGAATTGTTGGCCAAGATCACTGCTGATGACGGGAGTTTACTCGAGATCACGGCAGAGGAGGCGACTGCTTTGCTGGATCATTCAGATGAATCCAATGGCAATGATTCAGATGGCAGCGTCCAAGGGAACCCCGCATCGTTTCCCGATTCACCCAAGATAATTGCCTTATTGAAGTCCATCAAATCGATGCAACCGGATGAAAAGGCAGTGATTTTTTCCCAGTGGACAGGTCACTTGGACCTTATCGAAAGTGCCCTCAAGAGAGAAGGACACAAAGTGGCAAGAATCGACGGAAACAAGTCCTTGGAAGAACGGGAAGCTGCCATTGAGACATTGTCGACTGACAAGACCGTCCGGTTCATGGTGTGTTCTATCAAGGCCGCCGGAGTTGGCATTACCCTGAATGCTGCCAATGTAGTTTTCATCATGGATCCATGGTGGTAAGACAAACAAGCCCACCACCTCTGTGATTTATCTGATGTTTGCCCACACCTTTCTTTTCATCGCTTTTCCACTCTGATTATTGTTGCTCTTTACCTGTAGGAATGAAGCACAGGAAAACCAGGCAATTGATCGATGCCACAGGTTTGGGCAGACAAAACCTGTTCGTGTCTTTCGGTTTGTCATGAAAGGGACCATTGAAGAAAAGCTCGTGGAGACTTTTCAGCAGAAGAAAGCGACCCTCGCAAAGGGAGCTTTGACACGCCTCAGTAAAGCGGAAGCAAAACGCGCCGAGATGGCGACAATGATGGTAAGTCTCAAGTAACATTGGATCCATGTATCGATATAGCAAAACAAGTATTGTATCTCAATGGAACGCTTCTGGTGAAGGATCTCTTTGACATTGATGCGGAGGATTCTGAGATGGAGTGGATTGTTGACGATGATGAGTACTTCTGAAGGGGCTGTCACCAACTCTTCTGTAACGAAGGGCTCACAATGAAAGGAAAAATCCTTTGTGATTTTTCACTTTGCTCGGGAGACCGACGTACCAGCTCTTTGTTCACGGCAACCATTCAATAAAACAAGTCTAGCTGGTGCCTGTAATGGATTAGTAGCCTCTGTTGTGATTGTTCTTGAAAACTGTTGGCATCTCTAGCTAGCGCACTGGGTCGGTGAGCAAACTTGATTGTGGGAAAACCCTCGTTTACTGGGTTGGCGGCAAGCACTCCTTGTATCATCCCATTTTAACGACATGTTGAGTTTCCCCGCTGCTCCAAAGGTTCTCTCATACCATTGCTCCTCATGGCTCGCTATTATATCTTTTCAGCGCTGTATTTTCCCTGCTCTGGAGATTAGAAGATTGTCAGTTGCTTCTATTTTTCCTGTTGCTTCTATTTTTCCTGTTGCTTCTTTTTCCATGGCACCCGTTCTCTCATGTTCAAAGGGGCAAGGATTGAGGATTCAATGGCACCGTCTTTTTTGCTTGGCATAAATCAGTGACACTCGTATCGTTGGGAACATCAGGATTGCGGCTGGAAGCGCCGTATCTTCTGCGGACTTGCCTGGGTGGTTCATCTGTCTGCCATTCGAGACATGGGCTCCACTTCTTCCTCAAGATATCGGAAATCGAACTCTTTGTTTGGACGCAATGACACCATGATTGCGTGATGGGACCCCAAACCCCGAGTCTTCCAAGGACTGTCGACTTGATGCATGCATGTGCCATGCTTCATCCCATCGACGCATCGACGCATTCGACGAGTGTTACGTCTCCATGAGACGGCGCTCCTTTCTAGGAACAGCCCAACAGGGAGAATAATTCTCCCTGTTGAATATTATCTTGGTCTTTTGCGCCCCACATTTTAAAACCAGCCTGTACAAGAATGAAAATTGCACAGAAGTGTTAAACGAAGAGGACAAAGTGTCCAAATAAGAGAAATAAACGTTTTAACAACTTGATATTAACGCCAATCGGAGGCATAGGTCATATATGACCTATACCTACCCACGTAGGTCATATATGACCTGCGTATAAGTGAAAAGCGTCCAATTTAGAACCAAACTACTTAACAGTTTATCCACTATAGCAGCTAAAAAGAGCGAAACAAGAGCTTTCTACAGATATATGGGTCATATATAGCTAAATCCAGCCAAACAGGAGCTACAGCGGCTCAAAGATTGCAACTTTTCCGAAAATCAGTAATGAATCGTCGGCCATGATGGTATCCTGTTTCTCGACCGCTACATGTACCTGAGGTGGACTCCAAGGCAGGGAAACTGTTCCTTATACTATTGGTTAGGGTTGCTACTGGTATTTGGTGGTGTTCATGGCATGTTTGCAGTCTGTTGAAGCCTCCAAGGCGACGAGATCAATCCACACGGAAGTCCCGCCGATTGCTCTTCTTCTGATCCATTGCTCTCCTTCTATGGCTGGAACCAGACCTGCTCCTGTTGCCCGTGTTGAGACTTATTATAAAGATAGATGATCATGTAGTAGAAGCAGCCACATCTCTCTGTTTTGCCATCGTTCCTGTCATCTTGATGTTGGTTGTAAGGTGTTGAGCGACACAAGAGAACAAAAACGACAATTTAGCTTATCCCCTACCCTAATGTTTGCCTTAAACCCTGCTCGAGGTTCATTCGGGTCGAAATAACCCCGAGTGACCTACCCAAAGCTACCTGCATACGTCACTTTGACCCATGTGAAAAATAAGCATGGGTCACATTTGACCCACGCAGAGCCTTATTTCGTGTGGAATCTAATTGGCGTTAAGAATAGCCGTGGCATGCCTAATTCCTTGAGGGCAAACAAGCCACCAAGTCAATGTGAAAAGCACTGCAGGCAGGATGACTACAGGATGAACTCAACCAATATGGCAGCTGCACAATCAAATCAACTATCTAGAGTTGTCTAATTTCGTTGCTTGTCACAGCCATGTGCTGGTTGTAGTGGTGTGCACTACGCTAAAAGCTAGTGTAAAGATCTTTCGAGTGTTTTGAGTTTGAGAGAATGAAAGTTATGAGAGGATTAGAAAGCTATGAAAACTAATCAACGAGAGAGATCTACAACCAAAGGATCGTAGATCTGAACTCCCGCGGGAGACTGTAAAGTGTGATAGAGTAGGTTGCGGTAGCAATCCTACTCACTCCACGATCCAAAAACGGAACGCGTGGAAGATTCGTCTAGCATTTATCTAGTGGCGTGGAAGTACTCCACGCTGGCTAAATATCTAGAGCGATGTTTCATCATCAACCTAGTATGACTAGAGCGGTCATTGAGAACCCTGTCTCAATGACTATTCACGAGAGACTCAGTCATGAGTCGAACTCAAACCCTATCTAGGATCGAGTCGCGAATAAGGCTAAGAGCCGTGTATTGCATTCGCCCCCTGACAAGGGTCACGGAAGGCACGACATCAGTCGGACAAGGAGAACATATGAATTAAAGTGCGGGGCACTCTCCGGAGATTGGATGTAGACATGTGCGTCGCACGATGGCAATCCTACAAGGGGATCAGGCCTTGTATGGGTGTAAATACCTTATGTTCCAAGTCTGGTAGACTGTGCCGCTACTGGCGGTAGTATGTCGGAGCCGTACAGTGCCATTGTTATTGACTCGGTCTGTGTGGTAAGGACCTTTGTGCGTGGGCTGACCGTACGAACGGTTCTGATACTGATGAATCATCATAGTATCGTTGACATGGTGTTGATGAGGGACACGTGCCGTGTTCTCCTTATCGGTGTTTTTCTGGATAAGTCGTTGGCGACGTTCCTTAATGATTGACGCGCGTGAACTTGCGACGAAGTCCATGTTCATCCCGGAGAGTCTTCTCGACCTCTACGCGGGACTCACGTTCTCTTGTCCATGACGACCGGTCATGGATACTGGGTAACCCACGTCTGTTTCAGAACGATGGTTACTCCGTCTGCTGTCTTGGAGCAGCCCTTGGTAGTTCATTGGTCCAATGAATCTACGAAGTTCCTTCCTGTTGGTGGGAAGAGCGATAGCTGGATCGCATCTATTGTCTTTTTTGGTTAAGGGTTGGCTTCCTTCTCGAGAAGTCCAATTGTCTAGATACTCCAGTTCTTCCTATCGAGGAAGGCCTTGGTGGTGTTGATTTCAATCCCGACTTCTTGAAGTCTTTTGGAAAAGGTCATCCTACTATTCAACGCGATCTGCGAGATCGACGTCCGTTAGGATGAGTTGATCATCAATGTATGCACGGACATTTTCTAAGTCATGCAGGCGTGTTTTCATCTTCCTTTGGAAGATGTCGGGACTATTACATAGGCCCATTGGCAACCTCTGGTACTCGTGCTTTCCCTTCGGGAGTGCAATGGCATAGTGTTGCTTCGAGTGATGTGCAATACACGGCTCTTAGCCTTATTCGCGACTCGATCCTAGATAGGGTTTGAGTTCGACTCATGACTGAGTCTTTCGTGAATAGTCATTGAGACAGGGTTCTCATGACCGCTAGTCATACTAGGTCGATGGTGAAACATCGCGCTAGATATTTAGCTGGCGTGGAGAGATTTCACGCTACTAGATAAATGCTAGACGAATCTTCCACGCGTTCCGTTTTTGGATCGTGGAGTGAGTAGGATTGCTACCGCAACCTACCCTATCACACTCTACAGTCTCCC